TTTTTTTTTTTTTTTTTTTTTTTTTGTCTTTTTGAGACAGGGTCTCTATGCAGTTCAGACTGGCCTTGAGCTCACTTTGTAGCCCAGGCTGGTCTCGAACTCGTAATGATCCTCCTGCCTCAGCCTCCCGAGTGCTAAGATTACAGGCATGAGCACCAAGCCTGGCTAACAAATCAGCTTTGAAGCTATTACCTGCCCCACAATTTTGCCCAACATGTATCTGAAACATCACTTCCCTCTCACCTGACCATCCAGTAACCCTACACCTAAATGTAAACAGGGTAAGTCTGACATTGTTTGTTCTTCCTGGACCCACACTGGACCTTAAGACTCCCAGCTCCTGTCAAGAAGTGGTGGGCAACCCTCAGCCTTTACCTGCCTGTTCCACTCCCTGCTGACCACTTCCTCTTGGCCCACTTCTTACTGAGCACCTGCATGCCTTTGCCCTCAAGTCTGGGGCTGGGGCTAAGCTGCTCTCCTCACCAGGAATGTCATCTCTGTGACCTGTGTCTCCCTGAAATCTACAGCCTTTATCTGTCATCTTAGGTCACCTCAGGCGGATCAGATGTCCCTTCTATGTACTCATGAAGTACACTCTGCTTACCCCTGGCCACACCACATTCACATGGTTTAAGGACTGCGAGAGAGCAGGGTCACCACGTTCACAGATCCTGGCACATAGTAGTTTGTGAAGTACTGGTTGCATGGTGAACATGCCTTCTCTGTACTTGTAAAGCCACTAACAAGAATGCCCTTAGCCTTTTCCTAACAATTCTGCTCCTCTCCCATCATTTGCAAGCGGAGTCCCATACCAAGTATTTATATTTTAGGACCTAGGGGCCACCATGGTGTGTGGGGAGCTACAAGATATTAACTCTCTATTCAACACACAAAACTAACAACCACTCTGAACTTGGGTAAGATAAGCTGGAGCTTGAAGTGGAGCCAAACAGCTCCAACCCCAGGAGCCCTGCCAGACAGTGGGCAGACGCATGCACCCTCAGATACAAGAACCTGTGACAATGTACAAGGATATAGCTGGGGGGGGGGGGGCTGAGGAAGCAATGGCTCTAAGTGGCAGTGAGGACTGGCTTCACAGAGGAAATAACATCAGTCAGGACCTTGGTGGACAACTGGCTGTGTCAGTGAGAGAAACCTGCATGTCTCAGAGAACAGCATGTGGAACTGGAGTGGACTCGGAGGGTCCTGGTGCCTTCCCACGGTGTTCAGACCAGATCCAGCTGGAGTCCAGGGATTAAACCAGCCTACTGGGAAGTTCCTCATTCTCCCTCTGGATAGAGTCCAAACCATCAGAGATGGACAGCCTCTGCTGGAGGGCTGAAGGAAACTAGGAAAGCTAAAGAGCAGTTTGGCATTGCATGTGTCCCTGCGCATGGCGCAGGGTGAGGTGAACGGGTCAGCTGGAATGAGCAGGCTGTAAGTGCCACACTGCCAGACACATCTGCTAGAGGGAGGCCTTGACCCTTCTCCAAAGGTCTGTGGGACATGTCCTACCCTACTGCCCACTCCCAGGGGGAAGGAGAGTATGCTACACTCCTGGACATTGCCTACCTTCTCCATCTTTCTAATCTTGGCTCAAAATCCACATTCTCCATGAGGACTTCTGTGCCCACAATGGCCCTCAGCACTGTCTCTGCCATGAAAGCCCAGTCCCAAGCTGATTTTCAGTATGCTACAACCTGTCTTATCTCCTTATGGGCAGGCTATGGTTTTGTAGCACAATAAGCTTTAGCACTGCACTGGCTCTGAAAAGTCTCTGGCCTCCCAAGAAACTTCTGCCAACTGGGGCTCCAGGAAGGCGGCCTAGAAGAGTTGGGACTCTGCCTCCCACACTGGGAGCCCAGCATCTCTGCTTGTGTGAAGTTTATAGGTAAGGGACTTGAAAATCTCTAAGTCATCAAGAGTTAAAATGACAATTATTAAGAGGGGAGGGGGAAAAAAAGGAAGAGCAAACACGGAGTTCTAGGCAATGACAAGCATGACTGAAGTATTTTGTGAGATTTCCTGATACCTGCAATTTATTTTGAAGTGCATCAACTGTAAAAATACTCAGGATGGCCAGAAGGATGTGTCACTGCCATGTGATAAAGCAAACAGAATAGCAGTGAAGGGGAGAATCTAGTGATGCGGATGACCACTGTAAAATTCTTTCAGCTTTGCTGTATGTTTCAAAATTCTTTGAAATAAAGTATTAGAAAAATCACGCAAATAATAAAGACATTATGAAAGCCACTAAAAGTTGCCCACTCTGGCTAGGGATGTAGCTCAGTGGTAGAGCCTTTGCCTAGCATGTGGGAAGTCCTTGGTTCAAACCTCAGCATTCTACTACTGATGGAGCTGTCTCAGGTGGACTAGAAGTTAGGGCTTAGAAGTTCCTCCCAGGAAGCCCTCCCCCGGGGGGGGGCAAGCCTGGGGGAGGCGTCCCCCCCCGCCCCCCTCCCCCCCGCGCCGTGCCCCAGACTGTCTCAGCACTAGAACACACTGGGTGAGTTGAGGTCTCGGCTCCAAGCAGGAACCAGAGCGCTATCCTGCCACACAGAGGCCCTCCATAGACCTTTGTGAATACATCGGCCAGCTCTTGTTCTCTGCCATGCAGACGCACCTGGCGAAGAGCCAAGTACACGTTAGCTGCTCAGTGACCCTGCATCTTTTTGAGATCAGTGGCCAGTCCTGCCCAGCCAGGCCTCTGCCTTCCCAGGTGGCGCTCTCCCATGCCCATGGCACCCTCCCCATCAGCACCTTCCCCATGCGGTCTTCTACTTCCCCGGCCCGGCCCGGCCCCGGCCCCGGCCCCAGCCCCTCGCCTTGGCCTCTCTTCCACCCGGCCCCTTTCCGAGGACTCCTCCCTCGTCCAGCTGCCCTTCCCTATCCTTAGACAGCCGCTGCAGACCGTGAACCCTTTTGCCGCCCACCCCTCCCCGGCTCAGTCCCCCACCACATCCTTCCCGCACCGATCTTGCCGGGCGGGGCGTCTCCGCCAGCAGCGGCTACAGTGAGGAGCGCGGTCAGCGCAGCGAGCAGCAGAGAAGCGCGGGCCATGGCGGGTAGCGATCCGAGCAGCTTGCTGGGGCTCCCCAGCTCAGAGGTAGACGCTTGGCTCCCCGCCCCGCCTTGGTGCCTCACTGGCCGCCCCGCCTCCTAGTACGGTCGTGGCCTCTCATTGGCGGAGCAGCCGTCCCTCCCTAGTCCGGGAGGATTCTGTCATTGGTGGTCTACCCGTCCCGCCTCCCAGATGCGGGCATCTTATTGGTTGGCTGCTTCGGCTCCGACGCAGGTGTGCTCGCCTTCGACTCTCAGCATCAGGAGCGGGTGTCTGCTGCCGGAAGATGGGTGGACAAAAAAACTGTAGTTCAGTCTTAGGACTTACTTGCTGTGTCTTCTTCGGTTTCCACTTTCATAAAAGGACAGAATAACCTCTGCTTTACCCTCCCAGGTGGTTGTGGCGATTACGTGAAATAATGGATGTGAAACTGTGGAGCTGAAGTGTCTGCAAGGGCCAGGAGTTGCTGACCAAGCAGCGGCCGGGGTGACCAGATGCTATTCTATGCACCTGCTGAAACAAGACCGTACAGTTCTGATGCTGCAGGTTTTCACCTGTGTCCAGTTTCTGTATAGTTTATATCCCTTTTATTTCTTCAAAACCGAAAGAATTTCATTCTTTCTTCAGAAAGCAGAAACGATATCATTTTCATCTCAGAAAACAAGGGTGGTATGGCCAGTACCACCCTGTGAAGGACAGGTTTCCGCTGGCAGAGTAAAGTTAGGGTGAATTTCAGAAGAAGGAAAATCTGTAGTGATTCAATATGGCTAAAAGACTGAAGGCATGACTTTATAGTTGGGTTCTAAGTCAGCTTTATGAGTCTCACTACATCTAAACTGGATTACTACCAATAAAGGTGTGGATGAATGAACACTTACCTTTTTCTTTTGTGACACTGGGGAGATTGACCAGGACCCTCACACTGAACTACATCCCTAGCTTTTATTGAGTCATTTATTTTTGTCTGCAAACTCAAACTTCGGGCAGGGCTCAATGGGATCAGCGCTTCTGTCCCACGTGGTGTCACTGGGGACGGGAGGATTCAATTTCATGGGGCTGTCAGGAGGCTGCTGGCTCAGCTGAAAGCTGTCAGAGCCTTGTTTCACGACACACACTGCTTTAGCCTGTTCTCGGCATGATGGTCAGGTGCCAGGGTGAGCTGCTCAAGATAGGAGACGAGGCTCTTTCAGGTTTGGGTATGGAAATGAGCCCTGCCATTCCTACTGCTCAAGCACTCACAAAGCTCCAGAGATTAAAGAATGGATATGGCCCCTTGCCCTTAGTGTGTCAAGGAATTCTGGAGTTATGCTTAAAAATTACCATAGTGAATCTCACAGCATCAGCCAAGATTGGATAGAGAGGAACAAATATATTGACTGCCTAGCACTGGGAATAGGGCAGACAATGAAGTATGAAGCCAGGGCGTACAGACAGGACTGGAAGAATGAGAAAAATCTGAAGGAAAAACTGAGGAAACAATAGCTCCAACGAGGAGCAGTTACCCAGGAAGCTGGGTACCTGGCAGCCAACTGAGAAGCAGAGATAAGGTCGGGTGGCCAGAAGCTGGGAAGAAACAGGGAAGCTGAAGAAGTTGGGGCCAAATGCTAACAATCCGCTTAGGAGGATGGTCAGCCAAAGGGCAGTACAGCATGTAAGACAAGTACATCAGGAAGTGAACACAGGAAAAAATAAATCAAGAGGTAGAGACTTCCACCCTGAAGCAGGATAGCACCCAATTTTCTGTGCTGAGCTCTCAAGTTACCTCTGAACGCTCCGAGGGAGGGCCAGCAGTCAACAGCATACATTCTGAAGGAGGCAGACAAACCTCTGGACAAAGGCTGGCTGTGGATCAGGGGTACGGTATTTTCCTAGCATGTGAGAGGTTCCAGATTTGTTCCTCAGGACCACAAATAAACAAACAAACAAATCCCACTTGAACTGCAGTTATTTCAATTTGGGTTTTATTAGTTGTTTCTGAATATTACACTTCATCCTTAGTTTTCCCTGTTTGTCTTTGCTGTAGTTTTTTAAGAACTTCTGTTCATTTGATCAAATCCTTTGTTATGAATTAAGAGCACCAAATATAAAACTTAACATCACTGCCAAAATTCCTTTATGATAGTAAGCAAAGTCAGTAAAAGATGTGTAGGATCGAGGTACTAATAGTACACCAAAATCCCTCCTCAAGCAAGGCAGTGCTTCCTTACACGTCACCTCCAAGCCAATGTCCTTTCACTTTATATGTAAAAGGTGAGAATTAGAGCATGAACACAATTTTCTTGCTTCTTCAGTCTAAAAAATGTTTTTTGCGGGGTATGTTTAAAAAAACAAAAAACAAAACAAGAACTGGAAGGAAAATAAATCACTGAATCATTAGCCTACAATTTTTAAAAAATAATCTGCCTTTAAGGAGTCTTCCCCTTTCCCTAGACTTCAGGCAGCTATAAAAATACAGAAAAAAAATGTGCATAAAAACAATAAAAATAAATATGAAGACCTACTGTAGTAGGCAATTTACACATTTTATTTAATTCTCACAGTATCATGAAAGAATTATTGTAATCATTTTATAAACAAGCTTGGAAGAATGAAACGACTAGTGCCCAGTCACACAGGTGACTGCGCTAGAATCATGTCCAAATCTATGCTAACAAGCCTCATCTCGATTTCATGCTGCCCTGATTCCCTGAACTCTTTCAATTTGACATTTTTACTGCTATAGCTTTGTCTTCTAGTTCTAAACATGCACTTTCAGTTTGCAAAACTACTGAACAATGAAAGAACCTTTTAAAACTATTCTCAATCTATTTGCAAAAACAGGAGGTGAAAGCAGTATTAGAAAACTTAAGGTAAACAGAACATTTCACACATAAAATTATGGTTAATTCCAGTTCATGCATAAGGATAGCTGATAATTCCAAAGCCCCATGGCTAACTGGCTCAGTTTCTTCTTGTCTCCATCTGGCCATCTGATAGGAACTAAGGCAAAAAAGGATGAATTCCTATTGTAAATTTGATTGCTCATTAAATTTACAATACGCACTTAGTGAAGTCCAAAAGAATCTTTTTGGTTATGTTTTAAAAGTGCACATTTTCTTGTTCATGCCCTCCAGCCCCTACACTCCACACTGTCATACCATCCCTAGTCTCCATTTGATTTTTAAATCTGATGCAGATGGTAGTATTTACAGAGGATGGCTGTATTGACATGTCTGTTTAGTATCTTCTGTTTATACATACTTGTCTAAAAGGATAACTAACCATCCCAAAATATGACTGCAAGAGACTAGTTCTATAGCTCAGGATGCCACACAAGCTTCAATTATCCAGCCGTCCTTTGAGTCTCATTTTGTGGGACATGCATACCTATACAATAGTGAAGTATGTCCACCCCCCCCCCCCCCATCTTATGTTGGTTTAATTCACAGCCTACTCAAGGAAACTTAGAAGGGTGAAGGGAAGCCAGTTCACTTCCCTACAGGGTTCCAGAGTTCCACATGAAGCGGACTTTGTGAGTAATGAACTTAAACAATCTGTACATCCAACAACTAATTGTTGCTGGGGATACATTTGCATGTATATTAATCTTAAAATGATTAAACATAGTATCTAACTGTTCCATATTTAAGTTATTATTGACATTTTTTCCCTTTAGGTCCAGTCCTAAAAAAGACTAATACTCACACCTCAGAAGCAGAAAGGATAAAATTAGACCAAGGCCTCTTCTAAAATTAAAAAACCTCAAGACTTCTTTCTAACATCTGACTAATGCATTATTCATGCACTTAGTCATTTCTTGGACATAGCTTTTACACAACACCAGCTATAAAGTAAGACTGAAAACGATACATAAGTCCATTATCTTCTAACGGTTAATAGTAAAAGGGGAACTGTATGTTTACACAAATGTAACTTAAAATGGATACAAAACCTAGGAAATAAAGCTGTCAGGGCTAGAGAAGTAAGTCAGGAGCAGAGCATGTACAAGACTCTGGGTTTGATTCTAAGCACCACAAAAACAAAAAAATAAAGTTTGTCAGTGTAAGAGAGGTAGTGATTCGTGAGTACCAATTAAACAAAACCAAACCAAAGCATGCAGTGTAACTGGCTGAAATGAGAAACTGTGAGAACCTAATGTTTCTGTCCAGATCACTGTCCGTAATAATTCAGTACATATTCCAAGGCAAATTTGACAACAACGCAGTCAGGGCTGGTGGAATGTGCAGCTACAGGTAATCACCTATACAGACCTATTTGGGTCATTAGCTATTGGTGCTGCCTCGGTTTACCTGAAATGATGATATACATTTAGGGAGGCAGAAGATAATTCTCTATCTGAAAGGGAGGCATCTTGCTCTCTGCTTCCAAAGTCCAGCTTGGCCCTTTAGCCCTTCAGTTGGAGCTGGAAAGGGGTGAGTTTGGGGCAGTGATGTGAGTACAAAGCCTAGTAGGGACCACAAAGGACGGTTAAATGAAAAATAATAAAGTAAGAAGGGAAGTCCTGGCAATTCACGTATATAAAAACCAACCCAAGTGATCTAAAGTTTTATGTAAGTGCAAAGCTAAGTACCCACATATTGAATCAATCTCTACTGTTTTTCCCACAAAATATAAGATACTGTATTAATTTCAACAATTAGCTGAAGATAGTTAAGAGAATTTTGGATTTCAAAGTCAATCAGAGTACCAATTTAAAAATCATTTTTGTAAACATACTTTGATAAAGGCCATAGGTACATTTGTCACATTGTTCAAATGCCTGATGGCAAGACTTCTCTGATGAGACCAAATGGGTCACATAAAATCAACAGAACCCCTTAGAAACAAAGCCAATATGACTATATCCAAAACAGAACACATGAAGTACCTCATGTACGATACAAACCTAGATTAATAAATAAAGGAAACACAGGTGACTGCACGCCGGAACATTCTGTCCTTGATGGCCTCTTCATAGTCTTTTCTGAGACTCCACCGCCACTTCCACCTGGGCAAGTCTAATGGTGCGGCCATGAAGTTTGTAGCCATCTTGCCTTACTAATGCCACGGTGCCAGGCTGTACCCCAATATCAGCTGGCACGTGACAGATGAGTTCATGCTCATGAGGATCGTATTTGTCACCAATGGGTGCCATCTTCTCCAGACCATGCTTGGCAAATACACTCTTTAGCTTTGCTTCTAGAAGTGACAACCCTCGGAAGACTTTCTCAAGAGTGAGCTTCTGGTCCCCCGCCTCTGCTTCTTCAGAAATGCACTCAGTAGTCTTCTCCAAGATGTCTGCCACCTCCACCAAGTCCTTACAAAAACTCTGGATTCCTACAGAGAAACCAGACACTTATGTTTAGGAGGAAAGCACTCTGTTAGGGGTGAAAGGCCCAGATGGATGGTTAGTATACTTTACCTTGATACTCCAGAAAGTGGGAAGGCCGTTGCACAGGATTTGGGGATCATCACCACTCACCACCCCAACCCAAACAAGTCAATCCCTTTCAGAAGGTATCAATGACCAGAGACCCTCCTGGGAAACAGGGTAAAGGATTCGAATTCAAGAACTAGGTTAGATTTACCTACAATAAGCTAAAAAATCTGCATGGTTAAAATTACTATTTTTGTTATTATTAAGTTATGAACATTTAAAAACTCCTGCCTGTGTCACTTATGCCAAAGCCACACTTTCAACAGGGGCAGGGTATTATCACTTCAAGGACGGTAGGAGGGGGTGGCGATAAAAATGTCAACACTGTATTAAGGATGTCAAGGGACGCTATTCTTGAAGGCTGACTAAATATAACAGGAAGGTAAGGCACATTTAGATGAGCTATCTCCAACTGCTTTGCTATGAAATTGGTAGAGATGCGTCATGAAACTTTCAGACTCGCACGAAATGTTGCATGATAAAAATAAGCTGTTATTAAGAATCCCATTCTTTCCAGTTCTGCACCTTGATTTTTCAGAAGAGGATAAGTGGTGCCATCATTAGAGATATCTATGACACAATACACGATGGGGGTTGGTGAGGGGCAAGGGCTTTGTTCATCTAGGGACATGTTTAAGGCCTTGTGCCAAAATAAGCAGCATCTTAACCATACTCGGAGGTAAGAAGGATCAGTCACAGGTAAGCAGTAAGATAGGACAGAGGAAAGACCTGGGAAGACTTATTGCCTAGATGGGGAGGAATGACTGAAGGAGAGGGAGGAATTCTATGTTTAACTGCCAGCACTAATAGATCTTATACGGCTTCTTGGGGAAAACATTTGTGGAAGCCTGATTCTAATCAGCTGACTAATAGTAAATATAATGGGTTGGCAAAGGAGAGCCAATCTAGGTATGGTGTGGCTTAGTCTGATGTGAAACAGGAAAGCGAAGGCATTTCTAGAAAACAAGGCTTAGCTGCTAAAAGAATTTTGGTATTTTACTTTTTTTTTTCCTCTTGTGGTACTGCAGATCAAACCAACCAACATGGCTCTGCATGTGCTAAGCAAGTGCTCTGCACTGAGCTGTATCCTCAGCCTTCTAAAAGAATTTTAAAAGCAGCAAGTTCCTGGGTTATACCCTGCCCAAGTACAGAGATCTTGCTTCTAGTCAGTAAAGTTTGTGAAGGTTAAATAGAAGTCTACATTCTCTTGTCTGTAGGATCACTGCTCAAGTGTCTGATATTTTTCTAATTATTATATTATGTTAATAGATTGATGATGATCACATAATGTCTTAGAAATCTACCAAAAAGATTGTTATTATGGAGACAAAACTACTTTGGAAACTCAAGAGTTGTCATGCTATACGCCTTAAACATATTCCACTAGCTGGCTATGGTGGTGCATGCCTGCAATGCCCCAGCATTCTGGAAGGCTCAGGTAGGAGGATTACAAATTCAAGCCCAACCTGGGCAACTTAGGCACTAGGTGAGAATCTGCATCGGAATAGAAAATAAAAAAGGAGTTGGGGAGGCAGCTCAGTGTTTACATTGTAAACACTGCGGTTTACTGCTATAAAGTTAGAAGTAAGATCAATCCCAAAGCCAGAAAAAACAACAACAACAACAACAATTACTTTCTTTCTACCTCCATATTCGCCCTGTAACCTTTAATTTTCTAAGTATTTCTGGATGCTGGGAGGAAATTACATAAGCAAATGACTAAGATGGCACCTTTTGCTAAAAGTTAATAAATCAGATTAACTATCAAATTCTTCTGGATTTAACACGATTTCTGGAAATTTTACTGCTTTCTGAGTAAACTGACACAATAAGCTAGTTCTGATGCAAAGCTCAACTCCCAGTAAAAAAGACTACATATCCTCTTTCAGCTCAAGCAGGAATTATAGCAAAAGCCTCTCCCCGATATCATAACCAATCTGTTTGGTAGACATTTCCATTGCTCAGAGAGCAGCAACTTTTTTCTGGCCATAGAGTAAATATTTTAGATTTTGTGGGACAAGAGGCAAAACCATGTGTCTTATATAGGGGATTCTACAATAAAAGAGAAAAAGTCTCTATGAATTTTAAAAGATAAAATTCGAAACTACATACTAACTGGTGGCAGGCTACAGTGTGCTGAGTCCTGCTGTAAAGTTAGAAATAAGAGACTAAAACTTGGTTGCAATATCAGGAATGCAATTTGGGTCTTGATATGTCACTGTCACTAAAAGCATGAGGTGTAAATCACTGAATGAACAGCAGAGGCTATGGCAAAGCACCAAAATGGGATAGGACAGAGTAAAGAGCATGACAAGTTTGTCCACTGGGTAATTCTGTGCACTAACAGCAAATCAAATCCAGATAACCTGAAGGAATACGAAACAGGGAGTAGACAAGGTAACACCCAGGGCACTCTCAAGCACCTTCACTCTATTCTAGTATTATAGTTTAAGTTCAGATGCGCCCCTCGCCCAAGCCTCATGCAATCATGGGTGCGGCCAAATCTAGCGTTTGTGACTGGTTCACTGTCTAGTGCTCAAATTGATGGTGTGAGTGCTATGCCCACCCAGGGGTGGAGCCAGCATACAGTGCAAGGGCGAGAAGAGGTGTGTTTTCTCTTTGGCCCAATTGGCGATTTGCTGCAGGGGCAGCCATGAACCAGTCATTTCGCCTTGGAGCCAACTGAGTATGGACTGAAACCTCCAACCTGTAAGAAATAAACCTTCCCTTCCCTAACTTTAGGTGTCAGATATTTTGTCTCAATAATGAGAGAGAAAAATAACTAAGACAAGTGGTGTCAGAAAAGTATGACACTGCATGTAAAATTCATAGTATAGCAATTAATTACAGAGTGCCCCTTTCCACAAATCCTGGTTATCAACTTTTCTCAAAAACATTTGGAACTAGATGTGGTATGGTTAGGGAAAAATTTCTAAAGGACTATTAAAAAAACACAAGGCGTATGGCACAGTCTTTTAAGTTATCTGACTCTGTGATCTTCATAGTTATCTTCAACTTCCTCTTCCTCTTCAAGCTACTTTATAACTCACCAAATTGTAGACAGAACCTGATTAGGCACAGTAAAGCACAGGATTCTTTACAGGTATAAAAACTGTCTGGTGCAAATACGGTTGATTTTTTTCCCTATGGCTATGGACCATCCTTGTTTCCTTTAAGCAAATTTCAGCCTTCCTGACTATCCTGTCTGCTCTTTAGAGTCTCCTCTCTGAGTATTTTAATGCTTCACATAAACTAGCTAAACAATTGTTCCTATAAGCACTAGAATGTTGGAACTGTAATAACTGTATGTACTTAGAAAATAAAGTTTTGTTAAAAAAAAAAAGTCAACATTATGTTAGCAAATGGTTAAGCAGCACAGAAAGTCCAAGGGAATGGAAGGACAGAACAGGGCTCAGTTAGGACTCAGATACACTTTTACTATGTTCAGCTGGCAGATCTGCTAAGGGCGTACCGCGAGATTGAAATATATTTTACTATGAATGTATGTCTCACCAAATATCTTGGCATCTTCCACACATCTCTGGGTTCGTCTCCTGATGTTCTCACAATCAGCTACAGCTCTCTGGTATCTTAGCTGAACGTCAAAAGCAAAATCAAAAGGATGAGAAAACAAATGCTTCTCTTTTTTACTTCTTTTCTAAACTCCACTTACATGCTGTTTTTATAAAACAAACTACAAACTGTAAAAATCTTACATCAGCTGCTCCAAATCCCCAGCCAAAGCAGAAACTTACTCCGGTAGCCTGGATAAGCAGTCATTTAGCCTGCTAGTTTGAACACAATAATTTTCCAGCTTATTATCTTGAGAAAGTTTTCTTTTTCATATTTGGCTAGCACAACTAATCTTCAACTTTCTTTCACTGACTTTACTCTAGAACTGAGATTAAGTTTTACAAGTGTGCTATTGGTAAGCACCTATCTTAGCCCTTTTAATCTTTTTCACTTTCATCCTAGCATTCCCGGTTCCTTTAATTACTCTCATAAGACATGCTTTCTATCCTCCATATCACTCTTAAGTAAGAGTAGACTTTGGGATTGCTCTGGTTTACCTATGCATTTCCACAAGGAGTGTCAACCCAAGACAGTACACTATCCCAGATGTGGCCTGCTCAGCAGAGTGTAATAGTCAGTGATGTCACACATTCAAACAGTATTTATTGAGTGTGTACCACCTACCAGGCGCTGTACCTTCTTAAAATCGCCAAAATGTCAGATGTATGATTGCTGTGAGACATCAGGGAACCAAAAAGGGATGGCTACCTTTAGCCAGTCTTAATCACTACAGATTCTTTTTTGTCCAGAGAAAATTTCATTTTTAAATGGATATAAAAACTTTACTTGGACATTTAAGTCATAGAAAGAAAGTAAAGAATAGACAATATGAAGTCTACTCACTGTTAAATCTTGGACTTCTTTCTCTAGCTTAACGGCTTTTAACCTTAAGGCTCGTTCAGCAAGAGAGGGCCCGAGTTCATCCGGAGGGTCCTCGGAACTGCAGTCCTCACCAGCAGTTCTCTGGGTGGCAGTGCTGAATGGGTGTAGCCAGCCCCTAAAGCAGGTGCAAGGTGACACATGAAGAATAAATGCCATTATAAAAAGGCAAAACGACAACAAAATTTAGACATCGGAAAGTTCCCCACTGTTTCAGTCACAGTAACAAATAAACAATATGAAGACCTTACTAAGCACGAGCACTGTTTAACTGGCATCCTCTTTTTATCTCCCAGCACTGTGATAAGCACTACTGTTTTTCAGTTTGTAAAAAACAATTTATTAATGTGTAATTCTCAGCCATACAATTAACCATTTCAGAATACAATAAAAAAGTTTTTAGGAGATGCAGCTGGGTAAGCATCAGAATTTTAGAACATCTTTACCACAACAAGAAAACGCTCATAACTACTAGAAGCTGATTTCCATTTCCACCTACATCCTGCACCCTGAGAAAGCCTAACATATTTTGTGTCTTTTGTACGTTTGCCTTCTATGGCTGTTTACCACAAATGAGAACATCTATCTGCTCACTAGGGACTATTTTTTTTGTGTGTGGGGGACTGGGAATTGAGCTCAGAGCTCATGCTTGCCAGGTAGGTGTGGTGCCACATTCCCAGCCCTAAGTATTTTAATATGTGTTTAAGGCTTACCCGTGTAACTATACTCATCACTAATTGATTACTTTTTATTGCTTAGTAATATTTCACTATGTGGATATATGATTTTGTTTATCCATCTGTCAGCTGATGGACATCTGGGTTGTTTCCATTTTTTTGCGGTTGGGAATAGCTGTTATTCATAACATGAGATAAATACTATTATCATCTCTGTTTTAATGATGAAAAAAACTGAAGCTGAGAGGCTGAAGCCTTAATGACTTGTTCAAGGTCACGCAGGTAAGCTGGACAAAATGATGTATGCTTATAGTTTTGGCTACTGGGGAGGATGACATGGGAGGGTCATGAGGCTGCCCAGGCAACATAGCAAGATCTTGTTTCTAAAAAAGCAAACAAATCACATGCCACAGAGCTAGCATCCTATTGAGACAGAACACTGAACAGCAGACAGCAGAAACACCCACAAATGAGTACACAAAAATCAGCAAAGAGGAAACTAAAGCCAGTTCCAAGAACCAAAGGGGGTTACCAGAAGTGAAAACTCAAAACCAGTTCTAGTTCAGCCCTTCATCTTACAGAAGGAGCAAACTGGTCTTAGTAAAGAGAGTTAAGTCAGACTTAGCGTTCTAAGAATTCTTGACCACAAGTCATAAGGCCTTCAGGAAGGAGAACCTGTGCTGAGAAGGAAATTCTACGTTGGGAAATACTGATAAAATACTGTATGTTACCGCTGCTGGGCTGTAAAAGGTGACTCTAACAGATCCTGTATTCAACCAGTTACATAACCTACAATTTATACAGGTAATGAGATAAGTTAAGGCTTGGACACAACTGGATAGGAAGTCCTTAAATAACAAAGTACTTCAGTTATCTTTCAGGAAGTGTCTCCAGAATCCATTCAGTCATTCTGAAACTGGATTTTCAAGAATAGAGATGTGGAGAAGCCAGCTGGTCCAGTCAATGACCTTTTGATGTCATGAGCTCAAAATCCTCCGCACCAAACATCCCAACTGCCTTTTGAAAAGCAGGGAGACCTGTGACCTGTGAGGAGGAGTAACGACCACGCTTGCACAGGAGATCCCTAAAATTTCCCCTTCTCACCATCTTCATCAACAAGCAGCATCCTCCTGCTCCCTTTCTATAAATTCTATTACCAACCGAGGTAGACTGATCTGAATGATCTATTCCTGATCTTCTTACCAGCTGACCTCACAATAAAATTTGCTCTTTTCCTAACACTTGATGTGCCACAGCCCTGGCTTCTGTGCATGTGGCACAGAGCCATTGGCTGGTTTCAGATTCCACACAGAAAGGAATTTCACTGGGTATGGTGCACGTCTGAATCCCAGAACTCGGGAGGCTGAGGCAGAAGGAACACTGAGAATCCAAGGCCAGCCTGGGCCACAAAGTGAGTTCAAGGCCAGCCTGCACTGCGTAGTGAGACCCTGCCTCAAAAGGACCAAATAAAATGAAACAAAAGCAAAACAGAAAGAAATTCAGAGCGGGGTTAGTTTATAACAGGTCTTTCACTATGACAACTGTGACTGCCACTCCCAATTTCAGAAAGTTTCTATTAATATTTCCTGACACTCATAATTTGACTTCCAGTAAAATTACCAAGAAACTCAGTCTGTGAATATAGGAACTCTTGAAAACAAAAAGTCATTTATGTGAACAGGCATTTAACTGCGGTCACTGAAGTGACATCTGAAGAAAAGCTTAAGGAGGGGTAAAAGAGTTTGCTTTAAGAAAGGAGAAGAAGATGCCAGGCAGGCTAATTTAAAGGTCTGGACAAGAAAACTTATTTCCCAGACCATCCAAGCTGGTCTTGAATTCAATTATTACAATGTGCTGTTTGATTTAAATTCTGAATTTTGGTTCAGAAAATATGGTCAACAAACAACTGCTGGAAATTATACATGATGAAATATCTTCTTCCTCTTAAAAAAACACATTTATTCAATGGCAAGCCGGTCAAAATATCCTCAGGGTCAGTTTGATGAGACAATGGCCAGACCTTAGATTATGAAAGAAATTGGATCTAATCTCAATTCCTGCTCCTTCAGGACTGGGGGCCAATATGTCAAGAAGGAACCATTTTTTTTTTTAGATCATTTCCCTACATCACCAACAAACTGCCCAAAACCTGGAAATAAAACACTTTCCTGCCCCCACCTAACTCTTCACTTAGGTGTTAAGGTGCTGAGTCTGGTGTGTTAAAACAAAAGATAACAGCTACGAAAATTTCTAGGATTTCTCTGCAGCAAAATTTACAATCAGAGGTCCGACTCGACTCTGTACTCATCCATTTTATTCTTTTTCCAGAAACAGTTCCTGACAATAATCAACATCACTCACTAAAAGAGCTGGTTCTCGAGCCCTGCGTGGTTTCCAGGACTGGTTCCACCAGTTCTGAAATCTGGAAGTTATTCAATTTTTCTAAAAACTCAGTTTCCTTAATTATTAAACTCCTATTAATTATTAAATAGGACATAATAAAATAACCACCTCTAGTTTTGCGGTAAGCATGGTAAAAGATTAAAGTCAGAGGCAGCAACTGAAATTTCACAGTATCTCTGAAGCCGATGGCCGATGGAAGGGTGCTGGGAGAAACCAGGTCCAACCCTCTCCTTTAACCAACAGGTAAACTGATGCCGGGGGAAGGGGGACAGGGCTGATTAAAGTCACACGTTGTCGGGCAGGAACCCAAACACACCCACAAGACACCACTTGTAAGAAGCCACCGCGAGTGAGGTTTACTTGCAATTCATTCAAGGCTCGGCGCTCAAACACAAGACTACTCACTTTCCAGGTCTTGACCTCGGGCCCGTCCACCTCCCTTGGTTTGGGAACGGGATGCGCCTCAGTTTTCCCCTCCAAATAATGGGGTAGTCAATGCCCGGTCAAAGAGGCCAGGGAGGTTTGGAACGTCTTTTAGTCTTTGGCCGAATTAACCCTCGCTTTCACTCCACAGCCTTCCTGCATAGCCTTAGGGTCTCTGACCCTCCCGCATTGCTTACCTGCCCGCCGACCAGGTACTGGAGGCCAGGAGGCGCTGCAACCGCCGCCGGACCGCCCACAACGACCGCGCAGCCATGTTCCAGACTTGGGAGGACCGATGTGGCGCAAGCGCACTCACTCCAAGTGAAGCGCGCTCTCCCTTAAAAGCCACGCCTCCCGGCAGCCTTTGAGAGCGGTTCCACTAGGGGACTTCCGGACGGGAACGCTGCACTTCCGATCGTCAGGTGCTCCGCACAGTTCTTCCGGGCAGGACACTGCTGGTTTAGAGTGGCGGGAACTGGTCTTAACGACGAAGCTTGATGCTAGGCACAGGTTCGTGGCGGACAAAGCGGAATACGCCCTGCGCACATAGAGTGTATGTGAAGTTATAAATGATAAAAGCTCGGTATGATATCAAAATGTATCTGGTGTTTAAAAAAGAGGGTCACAGTGCTGCGAAAGCAGGCTGGACAGGACCAGATCACGTGAAAGATGAAAATAATTACAGCTTTCCTATTTTTCTTTGCTTTTCACTCCAGTGTATTTGCCGACTTAATTAAAAAAAACACGGTGTGCAGTATCTCGTTTTCTCTTAGTAAACAGTAGTTCATTGTTAGGGCAGAGATACAGTATATTTTGGCCATTCTCAATACATGTGCATTTCTTTAAATTCAACATTTCCCCCTTTTCTTCTGTTGAATGAACTTTAGTCTTATTCTGGTTGAATTGAGGATATGTGTCAAAATTTTTACGTGTTTTAAGAGTCACTTTGTTGTATAAGGAAGGTTACAAGATGTAAGAAAAAAAAGGGGAGATAAACTTTTCCAGCTATAATCAGGCAAGAAAAGGATACGTTCTGTCCTGGTATTACTGTGTGGCCTTTAATGTTTAAAAATTTTTTTAAAAGAGGGAATGAGGCATGCTCCTTCTGTACTCTACCACATGCCCTTTTTTTTGGTACTGGGAATCAAACTCAGGACTTTGTGCTTGTTGCGCAGGCGCTGGTCTGCTAAGCTACATCCCCAGCCACCTTCCGTACTCTGAATCGTCACCAAAACATGCTTTGCTTCTACTAGCAATTTTGGTTGTATTTTCTCTCCTGCTTAACCGTGAGTACACAGCTGGAGTCTTTTGCACTTTTATTTCTCATCCAAAGCCCAGGTCACAGATGTTACAACTAACATCTTATGTTTTTGTCATAGAAGAGGAGCAACGTGGCTTAGAGAGAGGTTACGATCCCTTTTACATAGGAGACAACTGAGGCTCAGGATGGTTAATGAGTATCCAGTGAAACAAGGACCAGAACTTGCTAGTGTGGGGAACGACAGAGCTTTAAGATCACCTCAGACCATCGTCTGCAGTTTGAAAAACCCACAACCAATCAAGACATTTAACAAGAATCTGCATTCAAGCCAAATGTGGTGATGCACACTTCTCATCCCAGCACTCTGGAGACTGAGGCAGGAGGATTGCTATGAGTTTGAGGCCAGCCTGGGCTACATAACAAAACCTTATCTTGCGGGAAAAAGAAGAATTGGCACCTGTTTATTTTTTTATTTTGCTTTGATTTCTGTTAGCTGCCAGCTTACACCAAATGTGTTGCATACGTGCATTCAACAGAGCATCTGTTTATTAAATGCTTCTCTACTTCTCAATGCTGCAGTGCAACATGAGAGAGATACATGGATGAGATAGAACTTTGTAGTTAGGACTCTAGGATCAGACTGAACTGCAGAAATTGTGATAATATAACTCATCTCCAGAGTTTTTAGTGATGACTAAAAGGATAATACCTGGAAAACTGGCTATGTAATTTAAAGGATAAAAGGAAAACATAGGCGCCTTTGTTCAAGAATTATTAAGGGAAAAAATTATAAAGAAGGCCACAACACAGTCAGACAGGACCACCTGGGGCATGGGACCTAGTGTGACTACACAGACCAAGTGCTTGGAACCTGACCCTGGATAACAATGCCTGATGTATGATAAGTACTCAGTACTTGATTATTAATCATTTAAGGGCTCTTCTGTGGAGTCCAGATATATTGGTGGAAAAGACATTTAACCTCAAAATGACTGCCTAAGAACGTGGGAGATACTGAGGATATTGTAGTGGGTGCCATTTAGTATACCTACTTTAAAAAAAAAGAAAACTGGCGATCCACAGTGTGTGAGCTCTTTTATTACTGGAGATACTGAGATGGAATTTGTATGAAAACTACCAGTTTAGATTGGTTGCTTTTTTTTTGTTTGAGACGGAGTCTTACTTTGTACTCTAGATTGGTTTTGAACTCCCTGCCTTAACCTCCAGGGTGCTGGGATTACAGGCTGCCTGGCTTGGATTAGTTGCCTTTTGATGCTTGTAGTCACCATATAAAAGTCATTTCTTGCTCAGCAGAAAGAACATGGGCTTTTGAGTGACACATTTCCTATGTAGCCAACACTGATTTATTTCCTGCATTTGACATGCGAGCTGCTTCCCATGTATTATCTCACTTGAAGAGAAAGTACAGTAGTTAATCTTGCTTTACAGATAAGGAAAGCAAGAATCAGGTCAAGTGATTCTCCTAAAGCTACCCAGCAGGTAGGTAGCAAAGGCAGTACTCAAACCCAGGGCTACATGATCGTAACCCCTAAATTATACGCTCTGCCAGTGATCAGCAAGGGGATTTTGATCAGGTTATTTTACCTGCTCTGGACTCCAGTTACTTCAAAAGGTGGTAGAGTTTCATTCAGGCCAAAATATGTTAAGCTTTAGGTGGGTAAGACATGTCAAGCCTCTGGCAAAATGTCCACTGCTTATTTTGGGATTTCCCTTCTCCCCCCTTGAGCTAATTGTTGAGCTCTTAAGAGTTAACGGTTTTATCTTTATTGGAGAGAAACACGTTAAAGACAGACCCATAAAGTGCCTACAGTGTTGAAACAGTGCGCGGCATAAAGGAGGCTGCTTAGGACTTGAGGTCCCTGCACCATTTATAAAAGAATCAAGTGTTTGTAAAAGGCTTAGCACCCACGTGGCAGCAAAGAGCCACCGTCCTCTGGTTTTCCAGGATAGTTTTGGTTTGTAGCAGACACACAAGGCCAGGATGTGGACCTCCCAGTGCAAGGTAAGAACTTCATTAGGATAAGACTGATGTCTGTGTCATACAAAATGAAGGACTTGACCTGGCAGCACATGACTCTGCCGTCCGACACCTTCAACATTCTGTAGACATTAGAACTTCATGTTCCCATCACTGTGAACTTGAAATTCTTCAGTTGATCAACCCTCTTCGCCTTCTGTGTACTCAGGCATTTGATGTTTAAAGTATCCGAATCTGGACGTTTCCAGTAGCTGCACTCTAAAGCAGAGGAGGAATGACTGCAGGGCTTCAGGCTCTTGGTGGCTTTTGTTAGCTGTTGTGCAGGCAGGGACAGGGACCGATTTTGCAGCCTGTTTGCTTTGCCCACAGATGGTCAGTAATGCCCAACAGGAATGCGGTTAGCACAAGTGATTGGAGGAGATGGTCAAGTCTTTTCCCTTACACCGCACCGCAGGTGTTCCAGCACTGCCCTCCTTCACCTGAAGGACCGGGGATGGGAGGCCGAGATGGGATGGAATGGCGTAGGCATGCGTGCTTTCATTCTTCTTCAGTAGGGAAGGTGAAGGCAGCTGACAAACCTTTCGGGTTGTACGGACTTCTGTCTCTCTCCACCCCCGTTTCCACCCATTGCAAAGTCAGAAGGATGCCCTCCATTTTTCTCTTCCCTTCTGCTTCTTCCCTCCCCAGGCCCCTAAAATCATGCAGACATAAAGGCCAGTCTTCTGGGTGTCCCAGAAAGCAGGGATGACTCCAGCCTCCTCCTGGTGTCTCTTTGGGGGAAAAAAAGCATTTCCGCCTTAGGTGGACAAGCTGATACTTCTTTTGGAATGAAATCCTCAGCCTCTTTCTAGGTCTTCTTCATTTCCCATTCCTGAAGTACAGAAAGAGAAGACAAATCATGTTCTTGACTATTCTAGTGGGACTGCTAGATAAAAAAATTTTACTGTAATTGTGTTAAAGATCTCCAGTGGGCAGGTTACAGAGTCTTGGGTCTTGGTCCTGCTCAGTAACTTTGTGACCTTGAATAAGACATTTCATCATGTTGACCTCTCTTGTCCCCTCTTCCAGAATAGCTTTTGGGGGGTGGTGGTACTGTGCTGGAACCCAGGGTCTTTATATTGAGCTATATCCCTACACTTCAATTTTTTTTTTTTTTTTCAAATTTGAGCAAGGATCTCACTAAGTTGCTAAGTTGCCCATGCGGGACTTGAACTTGTGATCCTCCTGCTTTACCCCCAGAGAGGTGGGATGTCATGGTTTATGTCCGTGGCCCCCAGGCCTCATGAGTTTGCATTGTGCATTTATGATTGGTTCATTGTCTAGTGCTTGGATTGGTGGTGTCAGTGCTACACCCACCTAGGGGTGGAGTCAGGATGTAATGTAATGGCAGGAAGGTGTGTCTTGCTCTTTTGCCAGTTTCTGCCTTGCTATTTGCAGCCGCCATGAACTGCGGCCCAGCATGCCAGCCTGCCTTGGAGCCAACTGAGTATGGATTAAAACCTCCAAAAACTGTAAGAAATAAACCTTTCCTTTCCCAAATATTGGCATCAGGTATTTTGTCTCAGCAACGAATAAAAAGTAACTTAATACATGATTACAGGCAGGTACCATGCTCAGCTATGAATAGCCTTTTTAAAAAATGTAATTCACATCAAAAAACCTTATTCCAATCTGTAAAGTGACTTTCCATTATGTTACACAAAACCCAAGGTTTCTCCAATGGCCTGCAAATTGTTAAATAAGAGAATGGCTAATTGTGGCCCAGTGGTCACGTCAGTCTTGTCTGCTTTTATATAATCTATTAGCCAAAAGTATTTTTCATATTTCTAAATGTTTGGGAAAATAAATCAAAAGAAGTGTGCTATTTCATGACAGGTGAAAATGATAGGACATTCTTGCTTTAGCAGCTGGAGGGAAGGTTTTCTTGGGACATAGCCATGTTCTTTACTCCTTTACCTCCAGTCTGTGGTTCCTTTCATGTTATAATGGCAGAACAATTATGAAGCAAAACATAGGGTGGGCAGATTCTGAAATACACATCGCCTGGTTCTTCACAAAACTAGTGTGCTGGCCCCTAGCATCAGTGATCCAGGCATCGGTCCGCCTTCTCTGGTCCCATCTGCCGGTGCTCACCTTGGGTTCCCTCCACCACTCACTCAGATCCACTCCAGGTCAAGTGTCCTCCCCCCACTTCACACACGTTTGCTCCTGTCTCCTCCTGGGTCACCCTTCCCTCAGTCCTCACAAGCTCCCTCCGTCATACCCCATTCAGCCATCAGTGTATGTGTCACCTTCTCAAAAGAGCCTTTGCCGTCACTGACATTAAAATAGACACCTCTGTTCTTTGTCACCTTCTCTTCCCTGTTTTGCTTCATTTTATGTCATTTTACTGACGTTTATGTCATTCTCAGCTCCATAAGAGCAGGGATTTGTTTTGGTTCCCTGCTATCTAATTTTTCATTTTAACAAAGAGAAAACTCATTACTCTCTACATGTCTTAGCTAGCAAACCAAGATGCTTCCATATCTAACTAGCTTTCCAGTCTCATTGCCCAGCAATTTCTCAGACGTTACATGCCACTGACAGGCAGGGCCCAGATTCCACTTCAGCAAAAGCTTTCCTGAGCATCTCTGATGGGTTGGAGGTTTACTTTTCAGGCCCACTATTTCTTATCTGCAATTTTGAAACCTGGAAAGCTCTAAAGCCAACATATTTCTCAAGCATTTTGGCATAAACTCATGGGGTGGCAAACTCTGACATGAGATGATGCCAGGCTGATAACAGTCCTGTCTGTGCAGTGTGCATTGCACACAGCTCGTTGTGGAGTTAACTGCATTTACATTTGCCTGTAGGGTACCACCGGAGACAGGCCGGGGGTTTTCATCATACTTAGTATGTGACTTTCTAAAATCCAAAAAGCCGACCCCATGAGTTACACAGAAGGGCCTGTGGGCCAGCATCCCAGAGTGAGCTCTGGGCTGAGACGTGGCACGGGTGAGTTTGTATCTCTGTCCCTGCACTAACTTTGGGTAAATACCTTCACTCCTTACCTGAAATGGGACCTGGGTAAATCCCATCACTCCTTATCTGAAATGGGACCTTTCCTGTCTCAAAACATTTTAGGTTTAGAAATCAGAGGACTGGGTTTGTTGGAACTGTGTGTGTGCCTGTGTGTGTATTTTGAGACTCACTACGTAAGCTCAGGCTGGCCTCAGCCCGGCAGTCCTCCTGCTTCAGCCTCCCAAGCACTGGGAAGAGCTACGTGTTCAGAAAGATTGAGCAGGTTCTGAATAGGTCCTCTGCAGACAGTTCATGAATTGTATTGCACAGGTGCACTGGCAGTTATTTCCGTCTTTCACTAACATCTGGTTGGGTGAGGCTCCATAAACAGAGGGCTATCAGATCTGACTGTCAATTAGCCTACTTATGGGTGTACCTTGGCCTTCTGGAGCACCCTTCCTTGGTTGGAGGTTACGATGGATGGGCTCCTCTTCCGCAGCTCAGAAACACAATTGACAGGCAGGGATTGCTCTGGGACATTGTTTCGGGGTTTATTTGTAGTTTCCTGTCAAGGGCAAGCAAAAAGTTTTAAAAACTTCAGTAGGTGAGACGGCATGTTACCTTCACCCAGCCTTCGCTCAAAAGAATAAGAGCACTTTAAAATAAAAGACATGAGGCGAACATCAACACAGAAGAGGGTGAGGGGAAGGAGGTATGGAAGGCCTTGGCATAAAGCCGGTAACAGTTGACTCATGCAGCTTTTTTTTTTTTTTTAAGTATAGCAGCATTTTACTTATTACGTATTTATTTTTTGAGACAGGGTCTCACTAGGTAGTTTAGGCTGGCCTAGAACTCCCTGTGTAGCTCAGGTTGGATCTGAACTTGCAGTGATCCTCCTGCCTCCACCTCTGGAGTGTTGGGATTATGGGTGTGCACCACCATGCTGGGTTTTATGCAGCTTTTTAATAAGCTCATGAAGTAGGTACACGATGACTAGCCATCCATTTTTCAGATGAGGAAACCAGGAAAGTCAAGCTGCTGTGCTGTGTTGCTGTGACTGATAAGTATGAGAGCGAACCCCACAGCCACGCTGTTTCTACTGGGGCAGGTGTTGCTGGGGATGGAACCCACAGCCTCAGGAATGCCAGGCACCTGCTCTGCCACGGAGCTACAACCCTCACTGTCCCCTAGCAGTTACACCACCTTCACACTTATATTTGCTTCGTATTTTACTGAATATAGTTCCTTAACGGTGACATCTTGACAGCTAAACTTGTGAAGAATTTAGAGGAGACTCCCCTTTATCTCCAAAGGGTGTCAAAGGGATGGAGCACTCTGAGTAGAATGGACTGGCATGCAGGGAGTAGGAAGCGGCTGTGGTCAGTGAATCAGTTCTAGGTCCTCCACCCCTCTGTGACTCTGGCCCACAAGTTCTTCAGCTGTAAAACGAGGGTGGAAATATCGCTTGGAGGGGAAGTGTAGGAGTGTGAGCCACCGCTCTGGTTTCAGAGTCACTGGGTGTGGCTGGCCCAGGAGGTGTGACCTGGAACAATAGTACCTCTGTACAACTCGTGAGGAGAGCTCATGCTTATCAAACAAGGGATTTTATCTCTTTGAGTCTCCATTTATGGTCTGAAAGCAGGCAAGGCATTTATTCACTCAACAGACATTTATTACATCTTACTATTATTCAGAATTTGTAAAGGGTAGGGATATATTGATAAAATAGACCTAGAACAGTGCTGTGTGCTCCTGGTGCTAAGATCTAATTTAAGCCACTGCAGGTGTCAACTGCTGTGTCACTGAGCAATAACCTTGGCCTCCAATTCTTAGTAAAAATACAAGCTACTGTAGTAGAAGGCATTATACAAACAAGGGCACAGTACAAACACATGTGTGTGCACACATGCACAGACATAGTAAGAACTATGAGGAATAATAATGGATGGGAATGTTGCAAATTTAGAACAATGGTCCCCAACTAGGGATGACTCTGCCTCCCGGCAACATCTGCCAAGACCCGGAAACGTTTCTGGCTGCCACGTCTGAGAACAGGATGCTACGGGAGAGGAGCATGCTGACTTGCGGGGTTGCTGGGAGATTAGCAGTAACGCATGCAGCCCCCAGCACGGGACTGGGCATGCTTCAGACCCTGAGAGAGGCCCAGTGTCACAGTGGTCAACAGAGCTCTGTGATCTGATTTGCTGGGTTTGGAATCCTGTCTTCTACTTTGTTCAGTGACCTCGAGCAAGTGATTAAAGACCTTTGAACCTGTCCCTTTGCTTGTCAAGTGGGGTTAAAACACTCAATACTACCTCACAGGACTGCTGTGAAGACTGAAAAAATATAGGGTAAGACTGGCCAATGTACTGGCCAATGGTAGTAGAACAAATAGGCTTGTTATTCAATTCATGGTGGCCCATATTATCAGTAACTCAAGGTCATTCCTAAGATGGCTCTTGGGGTTAAAAAGTCAGCTGGTGCTGCAGCTGCAGAGACAGCGGGGTCAGAGAACAAAAGGAACCTGTCCCAGCTGTGCTGCCGGTGGCACGTGCCCTCTCCCCTTTGGACCGCAGTGTTCTCACCTGTAAGTGTGCACAGCTCCTACCCACAAAGAGCAATGCCGATGGAGGATCTGTCACACGTGAGGGGATCGCGAAACAGCTGCCACAGCGCGGCAGTGGACTCACCGCGCTCCTGTTCTTGCTGCTCACGGAGAGCCCCAGGGCCGGGCCCCCGGCCAGGGACTGCTGCAGGCGTTCCTTCACAGCCACCAGCCGCAGCTCCAGGTCGATGCGGCGCTCCTCCCTCTCTCGACACTGGGCTTCCAAGCTGGCCGCCGCTTCCTCCAGAGCCTTTAGCTTTGCTCCTGAGGACAGAGACACTAATGAGGGACAGCTGAGCCTGGCCTGGGCCTCGGGGAGTGTGTCAGGACTCAGGCGCTTGTCTGTCATTTCCAGCCTCTCAGTCTTGCTTACCAGACAGACTTGAGACTTGGGCTTCCAAGTCATGAGTAGTGTGGTCATTACCTGCTCAGGATCCCTCTTCTGGAAACAGGGTGATTTTTCTCCTGGGAAACAGGCTTTCCCTTCCCTTTCCTTTCCTTGCAGTTTGAATGAAGCTGACCCTACTCTTAGTCCAAGGTTTGACATGTAAGTTAGCCTTGGCCCAGAATCACCTCTCATGCTTGGTCAGTGGTTGGTTTAGGGATCAGAGTTGGTCCAGCGGGAGTGATTCCTGGGGTTATGGTGGCAGTCACTGGGAGAGAAGCTCTCACTGCTGGGGTGGCTAAGAGGACTTGGGGAAGCTCCCGCCTTCACCCCCAAGCAGCCACTGTGCCACTGCTGAGAAAGAATGAAACCAAAAGGGAGGCCCAAACATGAGTTAGAGGGATAAGCTTCCTGGTGACATCATTTAAGTCCCTCGAGTTCATTACCACTTGACTTCCGAATTTCCCACTTACACTTTTCTTTTTCTTTCTATATTAATTTGATTTTGGTTTCTGTTATTTGAAAATAACAGTCCTGACACAGGGCTTTACACAGACCAGAGCCTCCTGTAGGATTCTGGTGCTTATGCAGTTTAATCCAGCAAACCTGGTATTAGCACCTTCTTGCGCCAAGTGCTGTGTTGGGGCTTTGCCTCCATTCTTTGCTGTGAGGGAGACTGGTTTCCTAGAAATGTTAAGTTCATTATTCACTCCCTCAGTAAATGTTTTTACTGATTTCTTACTATGTACCAAGCACTGCCCTAGACTCTTGGGACATATCAGTGAACAAATCAGAAAAAGATCTTTGCCCTTATGCAGCTTGTATTTGTGTGTGTATGAGATAATAAAATAAGCAGGTATGGTTCAAGATGATAGAGCTATAGAAACAAAAGTCGTTCATCACGACAAGAATGATAGGCTGGGTGTGGTGATGTACCCCTGTAAAGCCAGCACTCAAGGGGCTGAGGCAGGAGGATTGCTGCAAATTCAAGGCCAGCCTGGATTACACAGTGAGTTCAGGGACAGCCTGAATTACAAAGTGAGACCTTGCTCAAAAAACAAAACAAAACAGCTCCCAAAAGATAGCCTGCTCCTCCAAATGCTGGTTCTGATGTTTTGAAAATCCTTTTTACTGAAACCAAACTTACTTCCTGTCTGTGCCACTGATTTTTTTTCCACACAAAATGTGTATTATTCTTTAAACTAGAAGTTCTCAATCTGAGACTCGTGGACAGTCTGTGAGTGGACTCCAGTATGTAATATTTTGAATTGTGGCATTTTTTTTCTTTAGTGATAGTCCATAGATTCCACAATTCTCACAGGATTAAGTGGCCTTGGAACTGTTCTATAAGGGCAGGACTTGTTTTTCTCACATATGTGGAAAACCAGCTTAAAGTGTTAGGAACTGTAGTAGGGAGAAAACAGGAAATACAGCAGAAAATGGGGGGACAGGGGACCCTAAGAAGGCAGGGTCTGCTGAGTCCTAGGACTTCAGCAGAGGATCCTGGGAAAGTGACTGTATGTCACTCTCAGCCCCTGGACCAATGTCTCATACATACTTCTGAACGAATACATGGAAGGTTGCAGATAATTTATTTCCTTTATTCTAAGGCACACACACTTTGTCTTCCATACTCCTAAAGTCAGTTCCCATCTCACTCCATTGATGGACACGTTATTGGGATGCTTTTCATCCTCTTATCCAAAAGCAGTTAGGAAACTGATGACACTTCCTTTGATTAGAAGCGAGGAGGGGCGTATGGGGAGCCTGCCTCTCCTGGTGGTATGGTTTAGATCTAAATGTCCCCCAAAAGGCCTGTGAGTTCAGAGGATGAGGTCTGGGAAGGCGATTGGCTTGGGGTGGCTTAACCAGCCAATGAATTAATTCATCCACGAGATCATAATTTGTCAGCCTGATGAGCGGTGATGGGAACAGAATGTAAGGGCTAGTGGAAGGGAGTGGTCATGGGGTGTGACCTTGGGGATGGTATCTGTCCCTGGGCACTTTCCCTCTGTCTCCCTGTATCCTTTCTGGTTTCCATAAGGTGAGCTCTCCTCAGTGCCCTTGCATCACCGTATTTCTGCTCACTACAGGCCTAAAACACATGAACTGACTCACTATGAACCACGGCCCTGAAACTGAGCCAAAATAGACTTCTCCTTATTTATGTTAGGCATTTTGTTAAAGTGAGGGAAATCTAACATACCTGGGTAGGACTCAAGGTAACCTGTGCAAAAGATTTCCCCTCATTGTACCAGGGGAAATGCCAAGGCCACGCCACCCATGGGCACTCAGGCCACACCCACACAGTACCTGGGTTGCTCCGAATGGCTTCCTTTATCTCTCTCTTCTCCTGTCGCAAGGCCATCAGCTCTGTCCGAATCGTCTCTTTCTCTTTCTCCAGCTTCTCTTTTTCTACCAGGTACCTCCGGGCATCCTCTTCAGCTCGGTTCTTGCCGTACTTGTATTGATTGGCACCTGCAGAGATGCGGGGAACGAAAGGGTCCTTGGTTGTGACTGCTGGTGAGTTACGTGGGTGGTGTTAGCTTCTCTCAGTCTTAATCTCTCCAGCTATTAAAATGGGAATGTTTCAATTGCTTTCCTTGCTGTGAATTTCCTAAAAAGCGCAAAAGGAGGCATCAGAGCACGACCCCTAGGAACAAAGACCTTCAAACCTGACAAAGGTTTGCACTTCTCTGCCCTTCATGCCTGTGCCATCAGACAGAAGTGAGTGGTGATGTTTTAGTGGCTTTCCCTTAGGCCTCAGTTTCCTTATGTGTAAATAATATTGGTTAACATTTACTTTATGGGATATAGTAAGGTTTAAATGAGATGAGGAAAAGCACTTAGTATAGTACCTAGAAAAGTAATTGTTTAATAAATGTTAGGTAATCATGACAGTAACTGTTATGGTTTAGATGTGTTTAAAAGTGGGACTTTGGGAAGGTGACTGGGTCATGGGGGGACCATGGCTGACTTGCCCCTGGCAGGTGGGCAGCTGGGAGTGTGATCCGGAAGGGGGGCCTCTCCCGCCCCAGCTCCTCTCTAGGCCTGCAGCTTCCTGCTGCTGCGATGCAAAACTTTCCCCTCCAAGACCCTTCCTCTATGCCCTTCGTGCCATGGTACAGCCAGCTATGGACTGAATCCTCTAAAAGCTATGAGCTAAAAATAAACAAACCTTTCATTCTTTAATTTGAGTGTATCAGTTATGGTGTCTCAGTGACGAGAATAACTAAGACAGTACAATTACATAACAAAACAAATTTTTGTGATGTATGACATGCTTTGCATTTATTTATTTATTTAGTTAGTTTTTTGGAGACGAGGTCTCACTATGTAGTTCAGGCTGGCACTGAGCTCACTATGTAGCCCAGACTGGCCTTGAATTCATGGTGATCCTTTTGCCTCAGCCTTCCAGGTGCTGGGATTCAGGCTTGCAATGCTTTGGTTTTAAAAGGGGATGTTTTGCCAGAGTGACCTCTCAAGTATATATAAGACAAGAAGATAATTATTTATAACTCCAATCCATAGAGACTCTCAACCGGAGTAAAAGGCACTGCCCATTGTATTGGTGGGATGGGATGGCACCCAGGAGTCTGTTACTGTAGAGTAACCACAATGGTAGAGAATAACAGCACGTGAGTACGTCAAAACTTTATTGAGCGTTCACTATACAGGAGGTACTACATGCTGTGCCACTGATTCACATTCCATTTAATCCTCAAATTCTATTTCATTATTAGCTGTACTTACTACTCCGCTTGTTAGTGCCATTTTATGATTAAGAAAAATGAGGGGCTAGGTCCCTCTGCTAATGGTGACAGACATGACTCCAGTGTATATGCCGTGTGTTGCTGCTTTAGCTGAACCAAAGCCAAAGTCTGGCCTCTCTGAGAAAGCTGCAGTTGGGATTACAGGGTCACCTAGTGACCATGCCAAAGCCAACTGCTGGCATAAACTACCCTGTGAATCGAGCCTGGAGTGTACATGCAGCATGGAATGCAGGATGGGGACACATCCCCCACTCCTTTTCACAGCCCCTCTGCACCGAGCTGGTCCTGTGGCGGGGGCGGGGGAGGTAGGAAAGGAGGCAGCTGTAGCTAAAATGGCACAAACTCTCACCGTTCGTACTATGATTTGGTAAATACTCTAGGATAAATGTTTTCTCATTTGCTCTTTCCCCTTAGAGTGATTCCAGAGACTTTAGAGTGTTTTAATCATCTTCACCATTTCTATCTGTTTTGAGGGCAGGGAGTCTCTAGAACTTCTCACACTACTATTTTTCTCAGCAACCTACTTGGCCTCCATGGCTCTGGTCTCCTGATACTCGTGCCCTATTATCCCACCCGCACTAAGTCACACTGAGATGTGCAACCATCAGGATACTGTAGAAATGGCAGCGCGTGGCTTCTGAAGCTAGGTCACAGAAGACACTGCAGTGTCTGCTTCCTTTCCCTTAGGATGGATGTGGGGAGGCCAGCTGCCATATCATGAGGTCATGCAACTCTGTGGAGAGGTCCTCAAGGCAAGGAGCGAGGCTTCCTTTCAACACAGAGCATGCCGGGCACAAGAGCGAGCCAGTTTACAAGCGGGTCCTGCCCCAGTGAAACCTTCTTATGACCACAAGTAATTGGCAAACACCTTGACTGCAACCTCGCCACAGCACCCACACCAGGACCGCCTCATGCATCTGCTCAGTTTCCTGTTCAGCCGAAACTGTGACATAACACAACTCGTTCCCAGGCACTAAATTCTGAGTAATTTGAACTGTTGCAATAGGTAATTAGTACTTGATCTTGCGCAAGACCCTCTTGCTGTAAATTGAAAGTTTCCGAGCCCCTCAAATTCACATGTTGAATCTCAGTCCCCAGTGTGATCGATGGTATTTGGAGGGGCCTTTATAATGTGGTTAAGTCATAAGAACAGAGCCTGCATAAGTATGATCAGTATTCTTAAAGAGTCTCCAGAGAGTGAAACACTGGCTATCTATAAAACAGGGAATGGGCCTCACAGGAACAAAACCTCTAGTGGCACCTTGGTCTTCTCAGCCCCAGACTATGAGGAAGAAATAGTCTGCTGTGTATAAGTCCCCTGGTTTATGGTATTTTTTTATGACAGTCTGGGTACACTGAGACATTTCCCTTCATGTTCTTCAGCTTCCTCATCGGAAAAACAGTGTATTTGACGAACCCAGTGGGTTCTCACTGTCCTTCAGGAGCCCTGTGACTCGCTAGTGATGGCGAGGCCACTGTGGGCTTCAAACCAGTGTAACTCCACTTTTAAAGCTCTTTTATAACCGGAGCTTTCTCTAAGATTTAATTTAGAAACAGACAAAAGGTCTGTTTCTTTATCTTAGTATCCCTGAAATTTCATGGTGTCTTTAATCTTACATGCTTATTTTTAGTTATCTTTCATTCTGAAATGGGATTTTCACAAGGCCCCGTATTTCTAGTGCTTATGAGAGGAACACGTAAAGAACATTATGCATTCTTCCAGCTGTGCAGAAAGGGTACCCAGGTCCGGAGAAAAGAAAAGACTTTTCCAAAGCGGTCAGATGAGGAATGGAGGACTGTCCCCAGGAAGGGTCAATCTATACCAGTGGTGGAGAACTTGTTAGAGACGAGTGCCCAAACTGCAACCCACAGCCCACTTACTTATGACAAAGTGCCAACATGGCCATTATACCTGAGATTTTAGTTTGGAAAAAAGCAACTCACACATTAACATCTTTTGTCTTAAAAGAAATATAACATGCCATATGTTCACTACTGTTTGTTTACACTAATGAAATGTAGATACAGTATAGGAAAGCTTTTTTTTTTTAAGTCTTCAAAAGCAAAGAATGGAACCCGACTTTGTTAAAGTGCAGCTGAATACAGAAGAAGAAAGAAGAAATTATTGAAATACGCAGTGCTATGTTTGCTCATAGTGATATGGTCACCCAGGAGCAGGTCTCAGTGCTGGAAATCAGACAGAATTTGTTAACAAGTGTTGTCTGTCACACTTAGTCATTATTTGCAGTGTGACACTAAGGCCATTGTGCAGTGTGACACCGAGTCCACAGGGTGTGAGGTGGAGCTCAGGCTGGGGCACAAAGGTGAGCTGTGGCTCTCACAGCTTACCTTCAGGGTAGGTGGAGGGATTTAATTCTCCACTTGCTATTGCAGATAGAAATCACAAATTGTTAGCTTCTAGAACAGACACAGCTTGGAGAAGATCTCTCCTATCTATAAAATACTTTGTTTTACAATTTTTTAAAAAATTAATTGCTAATATTAAAAAGTAAGCTTTCACATAAAATCTAGACCTTTGGCCCTTGAAAAATCAGCAAATCTGGCAAGAGGGATGGCAGTGCTGCGTGGGCACCATCAGAGGGAGCCGCGGAGCAGCCACCTCCAGTGTTGGTGTCCAGTGCTCCGGCTTCTGGACAGTCCTGCACTTCTTCTCATCATTGTCCCCTCAGGCCATGTTCCAGTTGTCTTTCTCACTCTGCTTGGGTCATTACTATTCTTTTTCTTTCTCTGTGGCACTGGTGATTGGACCTTGAGCCTCTTCCTTGCTAGATGAGTGCTGTGCCACTGACTAACGCTGTTACTTTTCTTAGGGTAGATTTTCCCGCAGTATTGGAGGTTGAATACAGGGACTTTGAACTGAGTTATAGTCCCAAGCCTTTAAAAATTTCTTACTTTGAGACAAGGTCTCAATAAGTCACTGCATTGCCTAGGCTGAGCCTGAACTTGTGATCCTCCTGCCTCAGCCTTCCAGAATGCTGGAATTACAGGAGCATGCTACTAGGCTAGGGTAGAGTATCTTCTTAAACCTCGCTTTCTTCATTTATTTACCTGAGCCTTCAAGGAGTCTGGCCTCAAAACCCCTGATTTGGACTGCTTCCCTCCCACGGACTGCTCCCACGGGCAGGGCCACACAGAACTCACTGGAGGCATGGCGCTTGACTTTGACCTGCGGGTCCACACGATGGGACTTCTCACTGCAAGAGGAGGCATGGCGCTTCACCTGGGCCCCCGTGGGGCGCTCGGGCTCCTCGTCCTGAGTGGAGAGGGAGGAGGAAGGTTAAGGGCCGGCAGGTTCAGACTCCTCATTGCAGAGGCGTGCTCTTTCCTAGGCACGGGCAGGATTTCGGAGCTCTTGGCCTTACATTTTTAGATTTGTGCAGCACGCTACAGTTTATGAACCACTTTCACTAGCAGCAGATCATTTGCATCTCCTGCCTTTCTGTGAAAGGTAGTGATAGTAAACTAAGGGACCTGCTGGGAAGAAAACTAGGAAATCTTGAATGACAGTGGGTGACTATATTTGATTTACCATAGGTATTACTGGCCTCAGAAAATCTGGACGCATCCCTCTAACTTTCTGAACTGCAAATACAGCCTTCCCTTCACAAGAATCAGTCAGCCAGGCGTGATGGCACACACCTAGCACTCAGGAGGCTGAGGCAGGAGGATCACCTTGAGTTTAAGGCCAGCCTAGGCTACATAGTGAGTTAATGCCAGACTGAACCACATAGTGAGACCCTGCTCAAACAAAACAAAATAAAACCCCAAAACAACAACAACAAAAAGAATCAGTCAATGGTAATATATAATAGTGATAACATATATAACTATGGTAACAGAATACATAATTCACTAGCCTGCCTATATATTTGTATACTAAGAGTTTATGGAGACTCAAAATCCAGTAAGACTCAGGAAACCCTAATAGCTGTTATGCAACAATCATACTGATAACAGTATTATTTATTAAAAAAAAGCAGTATCATTTACTACTCGGTACAAAATGTTCTAATGAGTAGGCACTGTGCTGAATCTTTTCTTAGTGAAAAGCATTTCACTTAGGCCTTGCGGTAGCCCTGTAAGATGGGCTTTTCATGCCCAAGTGAGGACCAGAGAAGTAAACCCAAGGCTAGTCAGCCCCAGCCTGGGTCTGATCTCCAGACCGTCGTCCTTAAGCATGATGCTGCCTGTGACACAACTGTTATGCAAAACCTCAAGCAGCATCTGCTGGTTCACCTGCGTAGAAGAAAAACCATGGGAACAGAGGGATGGGTAGAGGATGCCTGGGGAAGTTTCTAGAAAAGGGAGGCTTGGAGGTGAGAGCAGAGGGCATCATCCAGGAATGTGCACAGCAGGGCCTGGCCTGCAGACAACTGGAGTCCTTGGCACCTTGATTTCCTCTCTGCCCCAGCCGTGAGGCCTCCCCAACCTGCCTGTCTCTAGTCAGGACTGGGGCATTCTTGTGGCTCCCTGGGGAGAAGGCACAGGGTGCATGGCCATGAGCCTTCTGGATAGAATACAGGTTGGACAGGCACAGAGAAGCCCTTGCTATAAATTAATGAACTGCCACCGCCTTGGTTTAGTAAGCAAAGCAGGGAGCTGATGGCCAGACTGTGAATACCAAGGGTGAAGGCCACCCTGTCAACATCCGCCCCAAACACCCCGGCATCAGCAGTACACGGAGTGCACAGCAGTACACGGAGCAGAGCCCGGTGCCCCACTCAGACTGGACACTCTGCCTCCCCATTCCGCAGTGCCTGGCAGTCTGCAGAGCCCCTTCTTCCTCCCAGCCCTGGACTCTTTCACCTGAACCACTGAGCTCCTGCGCCAGGGATGCCTCATCCTGCTCGAGCCATGAGCTGTGAGAGGGAGGGACTCTCCTTCTAGCTGTTGGTTAAATAACACTGATTTCTTAGGAACAAAGCACGGAAAGGGCTGTAAAGAGGAGACAGGGAAAGTGGCCTTCGTGACAGCCTATGCAGACCCGAGGGCCCGTACCTGCATCTTTTCATAAGGAACATCATCATAGACCCGGGGCTCAGGCCACTGATCCTGGCAGGATCTTGCGTACCTAGAAAATGACAGTGATGCTGAGGCTGTGCCCCTGCTATGTCACCCCACTCATCGGGGCCTAGCAGCAGACACCAATGTAGGGTGGAAAATCAGGTGCCGTGTGAGCCACAGGGCTCCCACGGCAGCCCAGAAGGGAGGCATGAACTGGTCATCACCAACGCTCTGTAATTCAGAAAATACAGGACCCAACGTGACAGGTAACCAGCCCTCGCCCTGGAGCTGGTGGTGATGGTGCTGAGACTTCAACCCAGCTCTTTGAATGCCCTGTGCCACCCAGATGCTCAAGGTGTGACAGTTTAAGATCCAGTGGCATCAAGACAGAGCCCCGACCACTGCTTTGGGGTTTGTTCCACCCACAGCCTGCCTCGACTGTGGGCTACCTCCTTCAGCCCAGCCCTAAGAGAGGCAGCAGAATTCTCCTGCACATGTCCCCCGTCCCACTCCACTGGTTGCCCAGGGCTGGGCCCAGAGCCTCTGAGATGGGAGTGTGGGCTGAGGGCTGGCCCTTACAGGAAGGAGTTGCGCCCAGCAGTCACGATGCTGGTTAAGGTCTCCACGTCCACATAGTCATAGTGCAGTGCCTCTGGAGTGACCCCGGAGCCCATTTCCACCAGCAGCAGCCCAAGCCAGCGACCCATGTCCTCCGAACAGCTTGCCTGGGGAGAGAAGAGCGAAGGCCATGGGCACTCCGTCAGGGCTTCTGCCTATCTGCTCACTCCGGCCAAGCCCACAAATATGTAAAAACACCTTTCATGTATCCAGAAATCTGAGGCTCCTTCCTCTCTGGCTGTATGGCCTCATCCCCCTCAGGACGTAGATGTAAAAACAACATTTAGGTGTTCCCCAAAATTTCTGAGAACTTTAATCAGAGGAGGTCACTGCTGCTATAGCTCAATCAATTTGTCTTGTGTTATAATTGCCAAATAATTATGGTACTGTATATAAGGAACTCCAAAAAGTTGTCAGTCAACTGAATATGTACTTAATTCTCATTTAGGAGCATTATTATTAAATGCACTCAGCTTGCAAATTGTAGATCTGAAGAAAGGAAGCACAGTTTTTCCTACAAAGCTCAGTGTATGAGTTAAAGTAAATCTGAGATCTTTCCGAGACTATGAAAAATAAGTCAGTTACAGAGGCAGTATTTCTTGAGACCTGAGAATTGAGAGAAGCAGTGGGAACTAGGCAGAGAATGGATCCACGAGGTTGAGCCAGGTACGGTAACAGGCCTGTAATCCCAGCTGCTTCAGAGGCTGAGGCAGGAAGATCTCAAGCTGAAGGCCAGGGCGGGCAACTTAACAAGAGTCTGCCTCAAAATCAAATTTAAATAAAGGTTGTCATGTACTTCAGTGGTGGAGCACTTGCCAAACACATATGAGGCAGGGCCCTAGGTTTAGTCACCAGTACCAAAAACACAGAAAAAGCAAAGAATCCAGGTTTCAGTTTTAGAACAAAAATCAAGAAGCCACCGTCCCTCTGTGGAGCCCTGGAGCACAACAGCATGTGGCTGCTCTGGCCTCGGTGGCCTCTGGCCTTGTAATGTGAGAAATTTAGGTTTTCCCTCAGGGTCAACATTGTAAGTTGTAAACAGCCAGGGCTGCCATGTGGAAAACATCTCCAGTGTGTTCTGCATAGTCTCAGAGAGCGTCTGCCTGTTCATGGAGAGAGGGTGAACGAGAGAAATGAATTCGCAGTTCATTTATTCAGCTAATGTTTATCATCCCGGACATCATGCAGGGGTCTAGGAAACGTCAAGTATGTGGAACAGCCATGGTTATTGCCTTTCATGGCCCTTAATGATTTAACTCCAGTTTCTTGATGGGGCAGTGGTTTAATCTGAGGTGGTCAACTCCTGCTGGGAAGACGGTGGAGGGGGTTCATGAGCCAGGTGCCGTGGGACCCGAAGAAACACCTTTCAGACTAGGGACTTTAAAGGCAGGGGGAATAAACAAATCTTAGTTCTAGAGTTGCCAGAACTAAAAGAATAAAAATACGGAACAATCTGTGAAGTCTGAATTTCAGATAAATAACAATATAAAAAACTTTTTTTTTTCTTTTAAGTTTGAGATGTCACAGAACCGCACAGGATAAGCTTGCATTCAAATGCTGTTTATGTGGAGTTTGAATTTAAGTGTCCCCTGTGTTACCTGGCCAGCCCGGGAGGCCCCTGCAGTGTCAGCGGACAGCTCCCGCGCCCAGTGCTTGGGGCCACCCGGATGCAGCCCTCTCACCTCCAGGATGGCCACCTCCTGTCGGTTTCGCAGGATCCTGAAGGCAAACGGGTGTCTGGGCCCGAAGCCCGGGGCCACCTCGCAGCCGCGGAGGGCGACGGCGTTGACGTGCGTGTGCAGGTCGGCGCGGTCCTTGTGGAAGTACAGCGTGCCGCGCTTGAGGCGGCACCAGCGCTCCTTCCAGCCCTGGTTCACCAGCACGTTCAGGTAGCCTGCGGGGACAGGGGGCGCTGTGACCCCCGCAGCACGCCCGACGGACGGGGGCGCAGCCGGGCCGGGCGCGGGGACAGCCCTGGCTCTCCCGCTGGGCCGGTGGCCTCTGGGTCTCGGGTCGGCTCGCTCTCCAGGCTGTGACTTTGGGCGGCCTCTTCGCGGGTTGGCACTGATAATCGGGCTCACACATCACTGCACAGCCTTGGGGCCACACCCAGGAGATGAGCGCGGCACAAGCCGCTACGCAAAACCTGCGGAAGCCACCGCTGCTCCCAAACCTCAAGCGTCCTGCAGCAGTGCAAAATAATGCACGGTGCTGACACCTAATGGCAGCGTGTGGGAACGAAGACATGCGGGGAGATGAAAAGTTAGAAAACCAGCAAGGCGTGGGCAGTTACAGCGCTGGGCAGGCCAAAGATGGGGCGAGAATTTCCTCTTAAAATGGAGTTAAACTTAAAAAACAAAACAAACAGAAAACAGCATGCCTTGCTTCACTGATGACTTTTCAAAGTCAGGTGCTTTTACACTGTTTTAGAGTCATTGTAACATTAATTGATTTCAAAATAGGTGCAGTAATCTTATTCATTTTTGTGGTGCTGAGATTGAATCCAGAGCCTTACACGTTAACCATGCACTTGGCCACTCAGCTACACCTGAGATGCTTAAAATAGATGGTTTTGCCCTGGGTTGCAGTACATGGAACACTGCATTTCCAGTAAAAGAAATGCCTTCTTTTCCAAAACATTTCTCATTTACATTGAATACATTTATATTGAAAAGTATTTCATTATTTTCATGCAAATTTCCTTAAAAGACTGATTGTAGCTTATATACCCAGCATGTTACACATGATGCAAATAGTCACTATTCTCTCATCTGAGAGGGGTGAACTGAGAAACTGAGGGTCAGAGATTTGGGATAAGGTTAGAGAGAGCACAGAAGCATGGGGATCAGGTGGCCTTCCCTTTTGCTGAGCACCAGCACCTTGAAGGAATGAAGAAGTGCAGGATGTGGATATTGATGGGGTGGGCTTTAGCTAATCTGGGGCCAGCTTTTCTCGCCTAACCTGGGGCCAGGTGGACGAGGCATTGAGGGCGCCCTGGCTTTAGCTCCAAGAGCCTGTGCCCACTGGGCTGAAAGCCCCACCGCCCCGCTCCTGCACCCCATACCCACCACAGCATGGCACTTCCTCCTCAGCGGAGCATATCTGCAGGTCCTCAGCCAGGGCCTTCTTCTTGGAGAAGCTGATAATGCGGGTGATCTTTCGGCCTGCAGCCCGGCTCATAGAGCCCTTTAGCTCTGCCAAGCTGCTCTTCTTCCCTTTTCCTGCTGCCAAAGAGACTGGTCAGGGGAGGGGAGGGGCCTATGTCCCAGTTTCACCTAACTGGCCTTCCTGGCAGCCCTTTCCATTTGCACACCCTGCCAAGGTAGGGACTGGCCTGTGCTTCCACGTGAGACAGGTCAGGTAGGCTTACCCAGGTCCACTCTGCTCTGCCACCATGTGCCAGGGCCCCAGGTCCCTCCCAGTGCAGGCATTCTCCAGCCTCACCCTGCAAATGCTCTTACCGTGTTCACAGGCCTCCCTGCGGCCGAGAGTGGAACCGCTGTCTCCCATGCCCAGGCTGTCAGAGTCTGAGGTCTGCCGCTCCTGGGATTGCCTCTGGGGAGGGACATGGCCTCACATCAAGAGGAGCATTCAGAAATACTCCTTTATTGGTTCAGTCTTTCCCCGAGTCCCCAAGCATGTGACCATTAGTTAATAAACACTGTTAGCAATTGTCATGTGCCTGATGCTGCACAAGGGGTTAGAGGACAATGATTTAGGCACGGTTGTATCTTTATGTTGTAGTCATTGGGGTAATAAGGTGATTATGCTTTACACACTGAGAGCAATGTCTTAGGGGTTGGCACCGTATTTGGCAGGTGAGAGACAGCTGGAAGGGTATTTAAGTGGGATGCTATAATCCAGTGGCATTGTAGGGATGGACAGAGGGGGTAAAACTGGATACTTTTTGAAAGAGCCACTGGAGAGACTGTCATCGGATCCTAGCTGAGACTCCTGAGGAGGATGGACCAGGATGACAAAAAATATGAGCTAGCAGACATTTTCAAAATACTCATGATAGGACCTGGTGACCAACAGGTCCAGTATGATCCCATCTCAGATTAAGATGATAAGCATACACACACACGCAAACTTTGTGGCCAGTCAATATTATTTTTTACTCATTAAACCAACTAGATCATTCAATCCACTAATTCATTCATTCATTCATTCATTTATTAACTCTAGGTAATGTGGGAAGTAGAACAGAATAGTTAGAATGGTCGTGGAAGAAATTGTGACTCCACTACCCTTATAAGCTGTGGAAATGTGGGAAAATCCTGAGGCTTGCTTTCTTTACCCAAATTACTCTTATTTCAGAAGGTGCCATGAGGTACCAGAGTGCTGGCCAGGTAAAATGAAGAGGTCAACAGATTGCGTCGTTGCTCACGCCTGTGTGATACGCTGCCATCCTGCTTCAGGAAGCTAAACTGTGCCAGCCAACCATGAGCATGAATTAAAACAAGACTCACTCGCTTAGGGCAGAATCACAGAGCTGAGCCCCTAAGCCTGTCTTGCCAAGAATGTCCAGACCGGGGCTGCTATGCGATTAGCTTGGTACTGGGTGGGGGGCAAGAGGGCAGCAGAGGTTGTGTGCTAGCCTCAGTTTCCAAGGAGTTGGAGAAATGGCAACTGTCCCACAAAGGGGACAGAACTGTCAGAAGTGTAAGGAATCATCTGTAAAGAAGTAGAAGTTATGGTTTGGTTCATTCGGTCATGGTGTATAGGTGGCCAACTTTTCACCAAGATAGAGAGCAAATATGAAGGAATGCTGGGAGCATTTTGGATTTAACTCAGTGATGATGACATTTCAAGGCCACGAGTCCATGGAGAGAGACAGAGACCCACATCCCCAGTCCCACTGCCACCCACCTAAGCATTCAGCTCCCTCTCCACAGGAAAGCTCGGATGCACAAGCTTGCCCCTTCTGCCTTCAAACTGCGTCACAGCATGCACCCCAGACCCAGCCTGCTTTAGGGCTCATTCTAGACACCCATCTTCCCTGGCCAGCCTGGCCCCTCAGCCAGCCCGAGAGCTTGTCCCCTTCACCGCCACCATTCCTTGAGCATTGCAACAGGGCTAATGGGCTTCGCTCACGGCTAGCCATACCGACCACTTTCAATTCTAGGCTTTCTCCTGCTCCAGCGCCTGTTTCCTCTGCTTCAGATGACTTTTTCCTCCTCTTTCTTGCTACTTTTTGTCCTCATCTGAAGCTACTTCCTGGGGGAACTCTCCTGGGTCTCTAGATAGCCCGATTCCTAGCTGCTGCCCACTGGGCTATGGGTGCTGTGAGTGCTGTGTGTACTCCTTCTGTTGGGACTGTGTTCTAGGGCCTGTCTGTGTCTGGTGCTGGCACATCCTGACTAAGTACCTGTCCAGTGGATGCTCAGGCTCTCCACTGATGTGGCAGAGACCTCAGGTGCCAGCCTGTTTGGGTTTCAACCCTTGCTGCTTCTTATTTACTGTGTGACCCTGGGTAGATCCCTCTCTTTGCTGCAGCTTTCACATCTGAAAAAGGACCAACAGCAGGTGTTGTTACTGAAATTCAACGAGCTGATACTTGTGAAGCATTTGGTACAGCGCTGGGTCCATCGTGGCAGTCTATAAGTGCACCCTGTATTACACTGTGTATGACCCTAATGTCATGTCAAAGGGATGATTTTTAGGTCTGAGTCCCTTTGTCACCCACAGCCTTGGCAAAGCATAGGGACTGATACGTGTTTGCCTAAAGCCAGATCAATTGGCTAACTTCACTCACATTCCTAGCAGGCATTTTTCCTTTGCTGATAGATGAATTTCAACTTAGATTTCGTGGCGCAGTTCAAGCATGACCTCCTCCTATGCTGGCAGGCTAAGCTACTCCTTGTCTGCCTTGTTCTGCATCCTGGATACAGATATCTATTCATGCATTTCTGAGTGCAACAGGCAATTATTGTGCACCTGCTGTTGAGCCTGCTCTGTGCTGGGCACATATAGCTTGTGTAGCGTCTTGATGGGGGCCTGGCTTTATCATTAGCATGTGAGCTTCTGCAGCACAAAGCCTGTGCCAAGTGCCCATGGCCTGACCAGGAGGAGACGATGGAGGCAGAAGTACCTTGTCCAGGTCCAGCTTGCACAGGAGTACTGGTGATTTGGGGACCTCCACTCCTTCCACCCCGATGGGCTTGCTGACCTCACGGATGACCTGTGAAGAGGAAGCGGCAGAAAGGGAAGCTCTGAAGGTACAAGATGCCTGGGTCTGTGTGGTAAGGGCTGTTGTGCAGAGAGCCTGGGGTTATTGTGAGGCGGAGGTGGGCTGAGATGGCACCAGTATGGGGGACGTTGGCTTTCTGAAGAGGCTTTCTCTTCTGTCTGTCCCTCGGACTGAAAAGACACAGGGCTAGGGACTGAGAAGCTTGGTTCCTAGACTTGGTTTCACTGCTGACTGGTTGTGTGGTCTTGGGAAAGCCACTGCCTCACTCGGCCCTCAGTTTCCACGTCTGTGATATGAAAATGCTGGCCCTCTGCTGGCGTGCTCTACGGACAGCGAGATCATGGATGTGGAGTGTGATGCGAACTGGAAAAGCTGCTCCTGTGATCATGCAGGGGCAAGCTAGGGCCATCTTCTCCCTTTCAGTGATGTGAAAGCTGAGACTTATAGCGTTAGCAATAGCCAGGCAGACCACAAAATAATGACAGTCACCATCTGATGCTCACCCATAAGTTACTGATGATACGACGAGGCTCAGCGTGGTGGAGCAATCTGTCAGAAAGTAGAGCAGGAAACCAAATGCAAGGAGAATGGCTGCCTGCCTAAGTCCCTGGGCTTAGCGCCCCCAACTGCATGTCAGGCAGATCTCTTAACTCTTGGCCTAGGGCTCTGATTGTGACCTATCAGCTCCCGAAGGCAGAGGTTCCCCAGGCAGGCAGGTCTTCTCTCTTCCTTCCCCTCCTGAGACAATGCAGTAATGAGAAACACCAGACTTCCATGGGAAAGCTGGTTATCGCAGGAAGGAAGGGAAGGAGGGAGGTGCTTGGTTTCATTGTTCCACAGGAAGATCCAAGGCAGAGTGAGAAGGACTCCAGGTGGAGCCGAGGTGGGTGCAGGGACAGCGCCTGCTGGAAAAGGTTTCAACCTCCCCTCTTCAGAGGGGAGTGGTGCTGACTTCCCACCAGGAATCGCTGACGGACACTGGACACTGTGGCCAGGCAGGCACTGTGCTAAGTGCTCTCTAGAATCCTTCTGAGAACCATTTTACAGACAGGGAAACTAAGGCATGAAGAAGTGAAGTCATCTGCAGAACACATGGCCAGTGAGTGCTGCTTAGGTCTGGGACTTGTTCCCAAGTCTGTAGGCCCCCAACATCTTCCCTGTGCACCACCTTGTCATCTCTGTAGCACTGTGCCTGTGCCTTGGGAATAGATTCAATTCTTGGCTGCAAATCCTGGCCCCAATCACTTAGTTAGTTGCATAACCTCCGGCAGCTCATACTAGTTCTTCGTGACTCAGTTTCATCTTCTGTAAAATGGAAACAATCTCAGCCCTCTTACGAAGGGTAAATGAAGGCACAGGATGTACAGCTCTCAGCACAACACAATGGCACCAAATACAGCGGGACCTTGGTTCACAAACTCAATTTTCTCTATGATTCTGGCCAAAAACCAAACTTAGAGGAATCGAATCAGATCTTCCCATTAGGAAAACATTGAGCCTACCCATCAAATTGGATTTGGTTCTGGTCCAACTCAGTTTGCGATTGGAATCATGAAAGAATCAGGTCCGTAAACTGGGCCTCCACACTCCATGCTCGGTGCATGGCAACTCACATTGTTCTATGGAGTCATGGAGGTGTCGAAGCTGGACCTCAGGTGTCGGTTACAGGGTGGTAACAAGAAAGACTTTTTTCCTTTTTTCTTAAGAATTCACTTGCTTAGTGATAAAGTCAATCATGTCTATAGATATTAAGCTCCCCATTCCAGGGGCTGTGGAAGGGCAGGATGGTCTAGCCCCCAGCAGGGATGCTAGAAAGGGGATTCAGGCAACTAGGGGGAACAAGGGTTGCAATGTAAGGTCTGTCCACTGCAGACATCCAAGGCCTCCCAGCCCCTCTCCACACAAGTGCAGGCTCTGAGCCTAATCCAGGGCCACGACTGGCTCCATGGAGACAGTAGCCTGTCAAAGAGAGGAAGGAAGGGAGGCCAGAAGCCAGGCCTCCCCTGCAGGCCCCACCTACCTTCAGCCACTCCTCCGCCTGCTCCCGGCTCTGCAGGGCCAGCACCAAGACCTCAGTGGCGCCCTGGGAGAAGCGCAGCTCGTGCCTCTTGTGCCTGCTGTCCTTGGGCACGTAGATGACACTGCAGACGTCCAGTGCCAGCCTCAGATGCGGCTGCCGGTCCTTGGAGCTCTTGTAACACTGGACAGGCACAGAACAGGGAGGACTTTCTGGAGTGAGGACAGAGCATGGAGACCACTGCCTGTCATTATAGGCTAATCTCTCTCACAAGTCCAAAAGCCCTGAGCAAAATACTGGCGAATGAAATCCAGACATAAAAAGCACACTGTGTCAGGACTAAGTGGGGCTTGGTCTAGGAACACAACAGTGGTTTAAAATGAAAAGTAGTTAACCATATAATCCATCATATTAACAATAAAAAGTAATCAGTAAAAAGGCAAAAAATTATACAGTGCAATGGAGCAAAAAGTATTTAATAATATTCAGCACCTGTGATACAAACTCTCAGCAACCATAGGCCTTAATGACAAGTGTTTATTGCCTTTTTGTTTTTCCATTTTGAGACAGGGTTTCACTAAGTTGCTAGCTTGCACGGGTTCAAACTCTTGATTCTTCTGCCTCAGTTTCCCAGCAACTGGGACTACCAGCGTGGGAGTTATCAGACTTTCCTTTTGAGGTCTAGACTGCCTGTGTCACCATTCTGTGAGACTGTGATGGCAGTGTGGCCACTGCAGTGAGAAATGGACAGAAGAAAAAAGGAGGAGATACAGCCAGCCAGGACCCTTGGACCAGTGCTGGCCTGGGACACGTTTTCCATGCACCACAGTGGAATGATGTCTTGTCTCCAATGCATGTGTATTGAGGAAGGCTTGACACCATTTTTTTTAGTGGAAGAAGAACCACTCTTATTTTTTGACTGTTATATTCGCTATCCTACTTTGTACCTTTTGAGCATATTTTATGAAATGATAGTGATATGAGCTGGTAAGTTAAAAACATTTCTTTGCAGTAAGCAAGTTATATATGAATGAATGCCAAAGGGTTCATTATATGAAGGACAGGTGTGTGGAAATGAAGGCACTTCTGGCCAGTGGGATTGTGAGTGTTTTTAAAATCCAGTTTTTAGGGCTAGGAACGCAGCTCAGTAACACAGCGCTTGTCTGTTAAGTTTGAGGTTGTGAGTTCGATTCCGGGTACTAAAAAAAGTCACTTTTCATTTTGTTTTTCACTAGCCTTATAAATCGGCACATTAATTTGCATAATGAAAAATAACAAACTTTGTTTTAAAGTGATAAAAATTCTCTGGAAAAACCCCATAGCAATCTTGGTAAGCCTGCACCGAGTTTCAAGGTTTGCACATGTGTGAGCGTGTGTGCATGTGCGCATGTTCACGAATTCTGCCGGCGTGGGCGCGCCCTGATCAAGGAAGTACTGGTCTTTGAGATTTTGTGTATTCAGCCAGGTCACACACAGCAGGCCGAGGCAGACACACCCGCAGGCACAGGGGACACACCCACAACACGTCCACGGGGGAGGCCACTCACCAGAAGCTGGTCCTCCTTGATCAGGGTCAGCTGCTTGGCCCACTGCCCAAAGCGCTTTTTCCGCAGCAGGAAGGCACATATCCTGCAGTCCCTCACCAGGTGCATGGAGGCCTCCTCAGAGGGCCACTGATGCCTGGGCTGTGGGCCCTTGCCTTCCTCCTCCTCCTCATCGTAGGACTCATAGGAGCTGCTCATCGCATCAGAGTCATTGTCTGCAGGTGCCATGGGAAAGGACCTGTCATGCCACCTTCAGGGAAACCTTCTCACCTCTCTGTAGGCCGCCCCTGCCCTGTGGTCCTGAGCTTGCTGAGGGGGCATAGGCGCGATGTTGGCAGTGACTGCCTGGAGACTCTCACGCTGGACACTGCAGTTCAATTCACCACCCCTTTGTGATCTTAGAGGCTCCCCTTCCCAGAGCTCCAGTTTCTCATCAGTAAGTGATCGTAACAAACGACAGTACCCACACTTCCTCTGCTACCTGGGCTCCAAATCGTGGAGAACGTTTAGCCAAATGTCTGGCGCTGCTAAGTGGTCAGTAAAATAAATGCCTGCTATTACACCATCACATGGACAGCCAGAGCCTCGAGCCTCTCAGCAACCCCTCATTATAGACTGGGAAACAAGGCTCCCCTAAGACCAGTTACCCCGAGTCAGGGAGGCCTAGGGCAAAACTTGAGCTTCAGACTGCCGTTTCAGGGTCTTTCCACTGAACCCTGTGGTCACCCGAAACAAGGGCTTGGGGTCTCTGTGGTCCAGGGTGAGGATAACGGTGCAGGTGGGTGAACACATCGGCACTTACAGGAGTGCTTCAGCTCGCCGTTCACCCTGGTCGTGGGGTAGCTGCTGTCTGCGTCCTCATAGTAGCCGTCCACAATCGAATGGGCTGGGCTGCTGCCATCTGTTGGGTGGTTGGAAAGAGTGGAGCTGCAGAAATGGGGGCACACACTTGGGGTGGGGCTGGGAAAGCCGTGGATGCCATACCCTTCTCGGGGAAGGGATGGGAAGCTCAGGGTAGCCCTAACCTGGGCATAGGACCTAACTCTGTATCTAGTCTGCTCTGTGTCCCTGGCACCAACTGCCCTGCTGTGCCCCGTCATACCTCTAGGCCTGTCATCACGCTATTTCTGGTATCCTCTTATCTTCTATCAGAGAGCTCCTACTCAACCATCAATACCCAGCTCTAGCATCTTTCCTCTGACCTTGCAAGGGGCCAAGTGGTTAGACCCTCCTCAGTGACCCTACGTATTTGTGTGTGTGTGTGTGTGTGTTTTGCTCACAATTCTCAACCCTGTACTTCAGGGTGTCATACCAGCTGCATGGGCTCAGACACCCTCCATTTCAGCCCTTCCCAAAATGTGTGTTTCTTGACTTACATGGCAAACTTTCTTCCAACACTAGGACTGCAAAGGAGAACTGGCCTAGATCCTAATAATGCATGCAGGAATGGCTCCCATCTTGAGTTCTTATAGTGCTTTCTTGTTGGGCCTGGGAGGCCTAGGGCACCATGCAGCAGTTTGCGGGCATCTCAGACTGCATCCTGCAGCCAGTTCTCCTAGGAGTGGCCTCAGAATGCAGATTCCTAGGCTGCAGCCCCAGGCACTGGATTCACTGGAGTGAGCTGGGTTGAGGAATCTGCCTTGAAAAAATCTATTTGATAGGAAAATTCTACATGTGCATAAGAATAGAAAATATATCAAAATCTATTGAGCTGGAACAAATTTCACTAAAAATTATTTTTGAAAATGCACAAGGTTATTCTGATGTAGGCAGCCCCTAAGCACATTCAGAAGCGTGGTTGCTGAGGAATGTGTGATGTGGGCTTGGTCAGAGCCGAGTTCGAGGCCCATCTCCACCATCTGCTAAATGGAAAGAACAGAGTTTTCCTACATTTCCGATTGTGGTGTGAATGGTTCTCACCTGGGGCTATGGACACGGTGCACATGAACTCTCAACACAGTGCCCAGTGCAGAGAATGCGAGAGACAAATGCCAGCTACTGCTATGGTCTCCTTTGAGTCCTACAAACTGGAGAGGAGAGTTCAGCCCATTTTATAGACAAGAACACAAGACTCACAAGCCTGAATCAGAAATGTTGCCAGCACAGCCCCTGCTCTAGGAAGCCTTCCTTCCCCAAGTCCAGCTCACATCAAACTGTTCTTCAGAGTTCTCTCCTGGCTCCCAAGTCTCTCCTGTCCATCTGTTTCCTGACAACAGGAATTCCCAGTGCCTGGGACACTTGGCTCTGTCTCTCAAGTGAGGCTCAGAGCATGCCTTTGTCAGCAGGGCTCAGGAGCTGCCACCCATGCAGTGAGGCGGACTGGGGGTGTTGGGGCCAAGGGAATGGGGTGGAAGAGAAGGGAGGCGATGGGGAAGAGGGAGGGGCATGGGGGCAAAGCACTGTGACACGTGGCTGGGCTGGACTCTGGAGAGGAAGGGTCCTCCCCTTCCTGAGCTTGCTGCTGGTCCCAGGAGGGTTGCTTCTTGGCCTTGCCTGCGAGGGAAGTGAGCTCTCTGGGCAGGCGGAGGAGCCCTATCACGCCTTGGGGTTCCAGTGGTTGGTCTGGGCTTGGGCCCAGAGAACCTCATCCCTTTCTCCCTCCTCCATCCTTACATGGATGAAATATCTGCACACAGTGTCACAGAATTTGAGACTCTCAAGGCCTCAGAGGGCCACAGGTCATCTGGTCCAATCCCACCACTGTCCAAGGGTGCAGACAACCCAAATGTTCATCAGGCGGTGGATGGATGAACACAGTGTGGCATGTTCACATGACAGGATACCCCTCTGCTACGAAAACAAGTGACGTTCTGATACTGCCCCAACCTGGGTGCATCCCCTAAACATGGTGCTAGGCGAAAGAAGCCACCTGCCAAAGGCCACAGGTTGTACGATTCCATCTCTGTGAAGTGTCCAGCACAGGCAAACCCATATTGACAGAAAGTGGACTGGTGGTGGCTGAGAGGGTTTGGGTGGTGGTGGGGAGTGGGGAGTGCAGTATGTTGGCACAGCTTCTTTTTCGGTGATGAAAATGTTTGGGAACAAGATAAGATGGCCAAAAAACATGAAATAAAAGAGATGCTTTTGGTTAGATATTTTAAAATAGTGAAAATGGTCAATAAAAATATTTGCCTGTGGGTAAAAAAATACAAACAGTACAAAATGGTGTGCATAGAAGAATATATTCCCTTCACCCAGATTTTTCTTTGAGATGGGTCTTGCTGTGTTGCCCAGGTCAGTCTCAAACCGCTGGGCTCGAGATCTTCCATCTCAGCTTCCTGAGTAGCGGGATTCTGATGTGTACCATCACACACAGTGTCCCTAAGAAGGGTATTTCTCAAACCACACATTTGACTCACCTGATGCTGGGGCCTCACACATCTAGGCAAGTGTTCTACTGCCGAGCTACACCCCTACCCCTGCACCCAGATTTCTGCTTACTTCCTACAGAAAATCCTGCTAATAGTTTCTTGCACATCCTGGAAAAATTAGTAAAACAAATGCACAAGTATTTGAGAGTATATTTAAAAAACAACAAGTAGAATCATGTCATCGGCAGCATTGAATGTTTGACTTTCTAAACGATCATACCTTGGGATTCATTTCTGATCAGCATGAGCCTGTTTTATTTATATTGTTTTGGTTGGAGAACATTCCGCTGTGCTGCTGGGTGACAGGGAAGCCACACACTAACATTATCATATACAGATACAGCTATGCATGCTGGCCACCCAAAATCCACAGTACAGTTCTTTGTATGGAATGCTGAGTGCCCGTACTGAAAGTGACTTCAGCTGGCCCCCAAAGGAGCAGACACCTATCGCTACGCTGAGGGAAGATCAAGGACTCTGTTTGCAATACTAAGAGATTTGCCTATTATAGAAATGATCTCTGAAAGTGCCGCCTTACTAAGAGATTTTCAAAGGTAGTCTGAGCCCAACTATCAGCAAAAATATGTACTTAGCATTTTTATATTGATGTACAAGTTATGTATGTAAATAAAACTATAGCTAAGTATTATGGTAGTATTAGATTATAAATATTATAAAATACATACAATTTTTAAAGAGCTATGTTTACTAGCTCACAAATCTCTGGGGTGGGCCCACTGGTCTCTTAAGACCCGTGGTTTAGACCAGATGCTTTCTCTTACCTGTTGACTCAATAACCTAACCTGCCCAGGAGATGTGAGTCCGCTGAAACCCAAACCACCTCACCACCTGTAGACACAGCAGTGGGGCTGCGGCGCTGCCGGCATTCCTAGTGTCCTAGCACACTTCTAGAGTGAGCCTCAGATCCCTTGCTTTAAGGGCAGAGGAGCAGAGGTCCAGAGAGGAAACAGGGAGAGGCAGGCCACAGGAAAGCCAAGCTTCTGGACTCCGGGCCATGCCCATCCTCCAGCAATGAAAAAAGATCAGGAGCCCGGGGAGCCCCTCCTCAGGAAACAAGGCTTTGGAGGCAGGTGCCAGGCATGGTGTTCCAGCCCCTGCATGGCACAGGGAGCTTGAATGAACTTTTAAAGGAAGAGACACATGTGACCCAGGGTGCCAGAACTTACTGTGGGAGCTGATGTACTCGGGGGACTTGCCGGGTCCCAGAGGAAGGGCCTCCTCATAGTAGTCCTCGGGAGGGGGCTTGTTGGGCAGCGGTGGAGGCGGGTTGGCTGCCTGCAGGTGACAGGGAGGGTGTGTGAGACTGAGCGGCCTGGGGATCGGGTGCAGTGGGCAGGAAGGAGGCCGGCAGCAGGGAGGCAGGTGGCTGTCTTCAAGTAAAACTGTAACTTTTAATCAAGTCTCAGAGCTGCCCAAACTCAAAGGCGTATTTGTCCTTTGCTCTTTTTGTCCAACTTTTTAAGCACCGAGGCTCCTCTGTAATGTCTGAAAGTTTTGTGGACTGCAAAAATACGGGGGGTAGGGGTCATATTTTGGAGTGAGTACATGTGGAATGATCCAAAACGACCATGAGTTCTGCAATCCCTGGCCAGCACATCTCTGTACACGTGAGGAACAGTAGTTAACAGTGACATCTGTTACCAAGTGAGGTAAAATCACCCAACAGTGAGAACTGAAGCTCTTGGGCCAATGCAACTATAGCCCTAAGCTAAGTTCTGCCACTTACTAGTTGTAGGATATCAGGCATATCACCTTTCCTTTCTGAGCCTCAGCTTCCTTATCTGTGAAATGGGGATAACAAGCATGTCAAACCCACACAGTTTCAGTGAGCATGTAAAGGACACACTGTGTTCTGTACACTTGGCACCACTGACAATCACTCGTGCAGCTGACAGATGATGCTTGCCTCTAATTCTCTGGCTCCAAGGTTGGGAGTCCTCGATCTAGCTTAATCCTTCATTTTGTAGGTGAAAATCTCAGGCTTTGAGAAGGGAAGTGATTTTTCTAAAACCATGCAGCAAAGGAGTAGGGAGGGCAGAGGCCACCCAACCTCTGGCCCAGAGCTTTTCCATCACCCATACAGGCAACCTGAGGTCAGGTGGTGCTGTCCTCAGGGCCTGAGGAGACAGACTACTCCACCACACCCTTCCCACTCAGCAGGAATGCAGCAAGGGTGCTGTTACGGCCTGAAATGCTGACGTGGGGCTGTTTCTGTCTTTAATGACACCTGGGAGAAGGAGCGGGGCCCTCTGCAGGCAGGAGGCTCCCTGCTGCTATTTGGAGAGGGGCAAGGGCCAGGCCATGACTCACAGTTCTTGGAGATGAGCTCTTGGCTGGCTCAGGGCTTGTTCCTTTGCTGGGCTCCCCATCATCTTCTGGCATGTCCCGGAGGTCGCTCAGGTCACAGTCTATGGAGGGGGGGTCAGCCCATCAGGCAGAGAAAGCCAAGGATGAGTATGAAAGACAGTGAGGAGGGCTGGACTTGGGATCTGGGGACTGGCATGTGATGCCGGGTGCCCCTACCTCCTCACTGGTAACCTGGGCATGTGGCTTTATAAACCACATACCTGGGACAACTCTGTAACCTGGTCACTGGTCACTCTATGCTCTGCCTTGGCTGTCATCAGGGATTACTACAGATCAACTATGATCATTTTGTATGGTGCTTTGGAGATTTTCAAGGGCTGTGTTATGAAGGCAGTTTTTCCCTTGAGTCTGTCAGTCCCAAACTGTCCAGGAGCACCTGGACTGCAACTGTTTCCCTGGGGCGGCAGGAGGGAGCCGGACAGCGAGGACTCTCCCACACCTTGCCCAGGCTGCTGCCACAGTTCACATTTCCACTGAGCCGCTGGACTGCTCAACGGCCCCCGGTGAGACAATCAGTTCCATGTGGAGCTCTTTTTGGTTCCCAGATTTGTCCCTACTGTTCTCCATATCTTGGGGAAGATTTCCTGTAACTTCAGATGCTGATTATACTTTCAGAGCTGACAGGGCCTGCAGAACTCAAAAGTGGCTTAACGACACCATATTAGAGCTAGGATCCACCAACCCAGGGTCACTTCAGTGCACACAGAGAGACAGATGGCTTCATGGGAGAGGTCAGAAGAGGCTGCTTACCAAACTCTTCAAAGAGGGACTCCACAAAGCTGGGCCCTGAGTGGAGGTCTGCAGTGTTCACGTACAGGTAGGAGACTTCCTTTTCTGGGAGGAAAGAGGAGACACTGGCAGTGAGGAAGGGAAGGACCAGGTCTGCGCCAGGACACAGCACTCAGTTTGCAAAGTGTGTCTTCATCCTTCATTTCACAGCGTTTAACTCTTTGCTTCTAGTTTTACATTGTGATTGAGGGTCTCTGTCTCCAAGCACAGGGAGCCCAGGAGCCTAGTGTTACTGCGCTGCTCTGGAGAGCACAGTAGGAGAACTATTGCCCACTCATCCTCCCAATGGTACTGTGAGGGCAGCAGGTGACACCAGCTCTGTTGTGGGGAAATAAGAGAGTCACCCACAGGTGACTTCACACTACATCCTGAGCACTGCAGGACTGAGCTACAGCTCCTAGGGCTTACTGAGGCATACTGTGCTGTTGAAAGACTTGGGATGTCCAGGGAAGGCTGGAGCAGGTAACGGGGCATGCTGCTGGGCACAGAGAACTGTGGATTTAGGGAGCACAGGCAGAAATGTAGGGGAGATGTATAATGCACGAGGCTGAGTGTGCATCAGAGGGTTGTGCAAGTGCATTTCTGTGTAAGCAGTGTAGGAGGCGCACATGTTGTGTGCTATGGACCTCTCTGGCAGAGTGTGTTTATGTATGAACTGGTGCCATGTGAAGTACAGGATGTTGATGTAAGCTGCGTATCACGTGTGCGCATGCGTGACGTGTGAATGTGCTGTGTTGTGTGTGGCGGGGGCGCGAGTGTGCGAGGGTGTATGTGTAGGTTTGTGGAGAGCTGGGGATGGAGAGGACAGAGAGCGTGGTAAGGACTGTGGTGGACCTGCAGGGCCCCAGCAGGTGAAGACACTGGACCAGAACGTGCAGAACTCACCATGGCACAAGGCTTAGACAAGCCCCTTCCCAGACCCAGGGGATACTGGCATATCTTAGAGGCAGCTCAATGGGGACAGTGCTGTCCCCGAGAGTGGGATTCTCTGGAGCTCACCTGGGAGGGGCTGCAGGCTTTGCAAGATGGAGGCCACTGCCATCTTCTTCTCCAGGGTGCTGTCGCTAAGGTCCTCATTGTCCAAGAGACTGAGCAGCCTGGTGAGCTCTGGGAGCAGCTGCTCCAGCACTGGGGAGGAAGGCCAGGACATGTCATGGCTCAGAGTCAGGATCTGGCCCTCCCGACCCACAGGAAGTCAGGGCAGCAGGGACCAGAGGACAGGGTTTAGTGTGTTAGGGAGATCAGCTGTCCCAGTGCTGGCCACCAGCCTCCCATGCCGTGGGGGTGCTGTTCATCGCCTGTGGTATTCCTCCATGCTTTCCACTCTGCCTCAGAGCTTAGCTAACCATGGCTAGAAGGCTGGGCCGCCTCAGATTTACCCTGGCAACCCTGAGCCCAGGTACCTAGGCCTCCCTTTGTCCCATTCAGCTCTCAGCTTCGCCTGCTCAGAGGGGTGTGGGGGGGGAGCCCCTATGGGGGCTTTCAGGCCAGAGCTCCGGCTGTCCAGGACATAGGCAGGAAGGGAGCCTTCCTGTCCCATCAGTTCGTAGGCTTCAATCTCTGGGACCTTCTGTTTCCGGTACCCTGGCCAGAGCCAAACTAAACATTAACCCCTCCTGTGCCATGGCCTAAATGATCATTACATTTTCTTCATGCTTATACCAGCGTTTCACAAACATAAGTATGCACAGGAACTACCTGGGGATCTTGCCAAGATGCAAAGTCTAGCCTATCTGTTCCTGTGGGACCTGAAATTCTCCATTTCTGACAAGTTCCTAGGTCCAGGATGATTCCGAGTTGTAAGATCCTACCACAGAGAGTCCTTTAGACCAGATGGTACCAAGACCATGGTGTCATTGATGTCTCCCTATTCCAAACAAGAACTTGGGACTTGGTTTGCCTTAGAGCCCAAGGCTAACTTCATCAGAGTAACAGTCTGCTTTGTAATTTACAAGCTTTTGTGCATGGTAATAAAAGCCTACCTGTGTTGAACAATTCTCATGAGTGGTGTTAAGCCCTTCATGCTTCTTGTATCATTTAAATATAATATGTAACTGTTTATCATTTCCAATATAAGGAGAATTAAACCAAGGCTCAGGGAGATTAACCACCTAACAGTACACTCCAAGCATCACTTAGGCAGGGCATTTGTTTACATACTATTTTAAGTGTTGCTCGGGCAAGTGTTGAATGTCTTAGGATATACCATACACAGAAAAATTATTGAATAAGTTTGACAGAATTATCATTTTTAACATTTCCTGTTATATGATCTTAGTGAAAAACTTAATGAAAAAAAAAGTTCAGTTTTTAGTCATGTATTTAAACGATTGGACTGGTAAGCAGTTAAAAAGACTTCTCCAAGGATGCACAGCATACAGAGTCTCACTGCATCGGCTTTCCTTGTCCTCTTCTCTTTTAACCATAGAATAAAGTTGCCTTGCAGAATTACACTGGATCTCCCTGACAAGTTTTGAGCGAGGTCCTCAGATCACCCCAACTGTTTAGATAAGGAAGGGCTGAGAAGAGGTTAGCAACGTGTGGAGTCACCCAGAAATAAGCAGAAGGGCCAGGATTTCCTCCACAGCCATGATCTTCATCTCTGTGTGCTTCTGTCTACCCTGGGCCTCTGAGGAAGCAGGGAGTGTGTGGCGTGAACCTTCAGGCTCTGTGACGTGAACCAGGGGCTAACACTTCTTGTCAATGAGAAGAAGCATGGAGCCTTGGTTCCAATTCAGGCTCCATTGTTCATCAGCTGTGGGATGCTCAGCAAGTTACTCAATGCTGTTTCCTCCTCTATGAAGGGGGCTTGTGGCCCGTGTGACAGTGCCTTGGGCGGCTCAGAGTAGAGCTCCCTGTGAGCCAGTCGTATTTACTGTTGCTTTGTTCTTCCCCTGCTGATGTATGCTGTGCAGATGGCCCTGTGTCTGGCTTCCTCAGGGGGACAGAGGCTCTGGGGCTGGAGTCTGGATCTTGCCAATTTAGTGTGTGGACTGGGCCTGCCCTGCACGGACCCTATGTGTTCCACAAGGGAAGGAGTGAATAAATGACCACACTCAGACTTTCTTTTTCACAGAAACCTTCCATACAGATCAGTGATGGTGACATTTTAGACCTTTCAATGATAAGAAACAGCCCACTGTGGCATGCATGCCACAGGTTTGCCACCACTGGTATGGAAAGTGGCACTGCTGGGAAAACCTGATGATGCTGCTGTCTCTTTGTGGCATTCCAGCATTGCTTCAGACAGGTGGAGAACAGGCTGAAGGCTGGTCATTCAATAGCAACGCTGGCCTTGCAGGTGTGCCCTGCTGCAGGGTACAGAGCTGGTGGGTTTAGGATCAATGTCCTGTTGAAGCATTTATGAGGAGTCTGATTGGGATACCCATTGCCTAGGACGGGGCCACTGAGGCTGAGGAGAGCTGAGGGACAGTCACACAGGTTCAATCTCTAGGCTGATGATTCCTAGAGCTGCTGGGCCATACAACTTCAATGGGACTACTGGCCCTGAAAGGAGCCTAGAGATCTGTTGCCCCTAGGGCTTGAGCCTCCTAGAAGCCACGGAAGCCAGGGGTCTGGATGGGAAGGCACACCACTTCAGAGGAGGAAACTTGTCAACTCATTCCAGCCTGTAGGAGACAATTTGAGCAACTCCCCTTGAATTTTAAACAACTGCCGCAACATAAGTCTTATTTTTATATACTGATATGTACAGAGAGGTCTATGCTATTCCCTTCTCCCTTTAATTGGCTCTAAGAAATGTAAATAAGGCCAGCTGAAACACTGATAATGTAATCTTTGGGGCCAATCTGACAGTCTCCTGTTTCCTCACAGAGTGCTGTCTGTAAAAGATCTGAGCACAGCGTGATGGCAGAGCCAGTCAGCTCCAAAAATATCAACTTTCAAGCCTTGCAATAAAGACGCTATGAGTTCCCAGGGCATATATAAGAAACTAAAGCAACAGCCTTCAAAAACGATTCAGTTGCTACCTTAACTGAATCATGCAGATTGATCCTTCTGCATGATCATTCTCCCTGCATTTTGCAAAGATGCTTTTCTCCTTCCTGGCTAGCCAGCTCAGGTTACTCACATAGTTCCCGCCATCCTCACTGTCACTCATCCTTGAACCACTGCCTCCTTCACAAGATAATAAATTTTGGGAGAGGCCTTGGATCAGGGCCTTTGTCCACATGTCTTCACTTGGATTAGGCTTAGGACCCCTGGTTGCCCTTGACTTTAAATATGTCTTGGAGTCTCGCCATTGGTTGCATTGGAGATAGTAGATTGGAATTAACTTGCTGGCGTTCCAATAATGTCTCAATCAAATTACAAAGATAACTTTCTGAACTGTGAGGAAGATTAGAAAAAATATCCTTGGTTACAATATTCATTATTTGGGATTACAATACAGCCAGTCTTGAGTTGTTTGGGAAGAATCTCCAAATGGAATCATGGACCTGTGTAGCCCCTTTAGGGAAACACCAAACTTCAGCTAACCCAGTTTGCAAACATTTTCTGAGCACTAATTAGGTGCCAGGCTAGACCAGTTTGGAGGGCTAGGTCTAGTGGGCAACCTGTCTGTGACACACACACACACACACACACACACACACACACACACACACACGCTGTGGAGCACTCAAGAGCAGTGATTTATATTTAAAATTCACCAGCCTGCTTTGTTCTTACACTGATGTCAGGGCTCTGGGGGTGCTGGGAGGGTTACCACTATTTCAGGCATTCTGAAACTTTTTGATCTCTGGATCCTTTTAAACATTGAAAACTCAGGGAAAATGAGAATAAATAAGGCATGTAATGTCTCAGCACTATATAAAAGTAGTTCTGACCTTGTGAACATCCCTGAGAGTATTCTGGGGAGACCCCAGGTATCCCCACCCCAACCATATTTGATGCTCAATATAAATGATAACTGTGCCATGAAGGACCCCAGGTTGCTAGGTTTTCTTCAATTTTTCTCTTCTTTCCTTCTTCTACCTCCTTTCTTTTCTCTCTTTTTTCTTTTGTTTCTTTCTTTCCTTATGTCCCATTCTTTTTGCTGTGAGGTTCCAACCATTTCTTGCTGTTGTCAGTAGGTACCTGGGCCCAGTGGACTCCAGCTTCTTAATGCTATGTGGTGCTGCTCCTCATACAAACTTGGTCACACTGTTTCTGAATAAGAACAATTAGGTTCTGAGTGAATGTTTTAGATTTATCACCTGAGCTTTAGTATTCAAGCGTCGCAATACCATTTTCTATTTCCTTCCTGGTCTTCGATGGGATTTTTTACGTGGGCTCTTGACCTCTAAATGCTTCGCAATTACTGGAGATGTGACAAACCAAGTTCAAGCAGCGTAGAGAAGGAAGAGCATGTGTGAGCTGAGGAGAGGCAGATGGTGAGTCAGGGCTGCCATTCAGTCCTAGTGGCAATTTCTGCAGCCAGCAAAGATCTGGAAGGCTGCAGGGAACAGAGAGGGCATGAGCCACTGAACAAAGCTCAGGGCAGGGTTGCATGAGCTCCTCTGTGGTGCTGAGCAGTTCTGTACACGCGGCTGTTGCTGTTCATCAATTTGCTTCATCCTCCAGGGACCTACAAAGAACGAAACGGTGGCTAAGAGAAGTGAAGTTTCTCAGCCACTCAGTGGTAGAGCCAGGCTGTGGACCCAGCTCTTTCTGTCTTCAAAACTTGAATCTCACACTTGAATCTTCCACCAGACAACCTCAAGGACAGCTCAGTCTAACTCAGCAGACGGGAGGCCAGACCCGGAAGAAGGATGTGGGGCTTCTCAAAACTGTTCCTTGAAGGGTCTGACAACTTCTCTTGAGACTTCTGACTCTTCCATAGGCCACTCTATGGTGGGCTGAAATTCTCTGTCCCCACTGGCCCTGTCTGCACATCAGAGCCCTAACTGTGAAGACCTTATAGAAGGAAAAGAAGTTTCTCAAAGCAAATGCTTGGTTAAATGATGGGGATCTTATCCCAAAGAGAACTTATATACATCATGGATATAAGAAACCTTTGCTGGGCTCTGCCAGAAAAACACAGAACTCACACCAAGATGTTGGCTCTCAAATGCAGCAAATACAGAATTGCTTGCCCAGACAGCTTTGTCTTAAATGCTGAAGATTCAACCACAGAGACTTGAACCACCAGGGAATTTAATACAGAGAGAAGCCTTATGGGTATAATACAAACGACAAATGATGCTGCTGTGGCTCATACATACCACCAGGACAGCAGCCTCAAATTTTAGAAAAAACTAAGACTCCTCTAAGGTTGTTAGAAATGCAGAGTATGTGATTCAGTACTACACTGAGATCCAGGAATCTATGTTTAACAAGCACTCTAGGTGATTCTGTTGTACACAGTCCATGTGTGAACATTTGCAAAATACTTCACCAAAGATATTACTAGAGGACATTACAGACATAAGGAATGTGGGTAAACCTCTAAATCTCTTTAAGAAATTATTGGACTGCCGTGGGTTTAGCTCAGTGGCGTAAGTGCCTGCTTGGCAAACACAAAGTTGTGAGTTTGATCCCTGGCACAAAAAAAAAAAAAAAAAAGAAAAGAAAAGAAAAGAAATTATTGGACTGAGAAAACAAAGCCCAGACAATCTGAGACCCTATAGAAGATGACACATAGCTGGAATATGGAGTCTGGCTTTAATCAGTCTAGCTAGAGCTTTGGATTCAGACCCACAAATACTGGGATTCGTGTACTGCCACCTCTGAGTTGTGTTGATCCATAGTTTTGTCATTTGTAGAATGAGAATAGTAGGATCCCAACTGGCTGGGCTAGGAGAAATAGTTAAGGGCATACTTGCAAAGCATTTAGCATAGTGCTATCCCTGGAACAGATAACTCAAAGCATGATAGTCATATTGCATTTTATTGTTGTCATCATTGCTATTGTTAATATTCCCCAGAACTATGCAGACTCCAAAGTACCAATCAGAGACTATTTGGTGATAGATGTGCTACTGTAACAAGCTCAGTGAAGACAAGAGTTGTTTTATGGTTTGGGTCTAGATGTTCCACCAAAACTTCATGCAGTCATGGAGGAGGGCTTCTAGAGTTTGTGACTGACTCATGGTCCAATGCTGGGATAATAGGTGTGAGTACTACACATGCCCTAGGGTGGGTAACCTTCATAATATAAGGGAGGGAAAGAGGCTTGCTGTCTCTCTCCTCCTGTTTGCTCTTACTGCTTTTGCTGTCTTCTGCCTCTGTGAACTATTGCCCTTTTGCCATGAGCCAACCCGTCTTGGAGACAGCTGATTATGGACTGAAAGTTGTATGAACTGTAAGCCAAATAAACCTTATCTCTCTTAATTCTGGACATCAGGTATTTTGTCACAGCAATGAGAGAAACGTAGCCAAGACAGAATTTGGTACCAGAAATGGGGTCATTTAGTGTGACTATGCCTAACCATGTAGTCCAAAAGGGACTGTGGGAAGGCTTTGGAAAGGTTCAGAGATGTCACTTAAAATAGCAGTGGTTGGAACACCTTAGGCTGTTCTGTATGGGAAATTCTGGTCAGAGCTCAGAAGACCAGAAGGAATCCTGCCAGTAAAGACCAGGCTCAAGAGGTTTCTGTTCAGAAGAAGGCTGGTTATTGGGCTCCAGATGATATGTGTTATGTCTTGACAAAAAGTTTGTCTAAATTTTACTTTTGTCCAGAGACTTTGCATGTGACTGAGATTAAGGCAGTAGATTAATTAATCTCATAGAAGACATTTCAAGGCAGTCGAAAGTAGAAGCTGTGGCATTGCTGTTGGGGCTTTCAGCCAGATTTATGTTGAGAATCAAGAGCTCATAAGGATGACTTAAAATGTTAAATCTGGCCAGAAGTGAAGCTGTGGATTGCAAAGACAGAACAGAGGATATCTTGATTATTGAAAAGGAACAAGAGAATAGAAAAGATTGCCTGAGGCCATCACAAGAATCATGAAGTCTCCACTGTTTGCAGCCTCAAAACTTCAAAAGTGAAAGACTTTGCTTTGAGAAGAAAGCCATAGAGCACAATGTTCCAGAATGGCAGTGGTGGCCACACCATGTGCCAGAATGTCAGTGACATAGAGAAGTTTTCCTCAGGATTAGATTAAAGTGTTCAGTGATCCAGGAACTTTACCCCTGCAACCAAGAGAAGAAAGTCTGGCTACTGCTACAGCTGGCAGCAGATCTTTCATCATCCAGTTTGTGCTGGTTTTAAGTGCATGCAGAATGCAAGAATTCTGAGGTTTAAAAGGCTCAAAAGAAGGCCTGGGAGGCCAGCCAGTGTACTCCTGAGAGGGAATGCACGAGCTGTGAAGAAGCCAAAGGTGCAGTGGAGACCCCAGAAATTTAGAAAAGTCAGAAACGTGGATTATCTGCAAGGAGAGAGCAAAACCAGCCCAAGAAAGAAGTGATGGGAGCTACAACCACCAGCAATGCCATAAGAGTGGTGTCACCCAACCCTTTTGGAGCTCACAACTTGCTATAGTTTGCTGCACATGGAACTATAGAACTTAATGTCTGCCCTCTTGATTTTGGACTTGCTTTGGTTCTAATCCTTTGTATCCCCATTTGGCATGGAGATGTCTAACTGGTGCCACTGAATGTTGGAAGTGTTTAACTTTTTATTTGTATGGGGGCTCTAGCTAAGAGTGTGCCTTAGGTCTCAGAGGAGATTTGGGACTTGGATTCTTCAGCAATGCTGAAACTGTTAGGACTTTGGGAACTCTTAGAGATAGACTAAAATGCTGTTTGCTTCAAGGGATGTGCATGAGTCTTGTGGGGCCAGGGGAAGAATGTTATGGTTTGTATCTAGATGTCCTCCCAAAACCACATGTAGTCATGTAGGATGGGCTTCTAGAGTTGTGTCTTGCTGTTCTCTACCCTTATGAACCGTTGCCCTTCTGCCATGAGCCATTTTGCCTTGGAGATAGCCCTTATGAACTGAAACTTCTATGACCTGTAAGCCAAATAAACCATTCCTCTTTTAATGTTGGGCATCAATATTTTGTCTCAGCAATGAAAGAAGAGTAACTAAGACAAGCTGTGTCTCAATCAGCACGAGGTGGTTCTTTAATGAACACAGTGTTTTGATGACCTAGTCTAACTCTCATTTTAAAGATTCAGAAAGTGGGAGTCAAAAAGATTATGCGACTTGGATATGGCCACACGACCGGTTGGGAAAAACAGTACCTAGTTTTAAACTCATACAAAGTTTAATGTGCAACCTGGGTCATGGAAGAGTGGTGGGTAAAAGCATAGGCTATGGATCGTTGGATTGTCCAGAAGTAGGCCCGTGGGAAAATTTTTAACAATTTTCCTTAGCTTCCAGTTCATCAGTACACAGCAGAGGTATCAATAATGGCTGCTGTACAAGGTCCTGGTAAAGATGAAATAAAGTGATATATATAAGTGCTCAGTGCTTTCTTTATTCCCACAGGACCCCTCAGGTGGAGCTCCAGGTGCATTGGCATGAGCGAGGGAGGAGGCACTGGGGCAGCAGGACACTGTGGGGTGCTCCTAGCTCTGGGCTGACATAGCTGGCAATGGCTGTAACAGGAGGAAGCAGAGGAGTACCTATCCTGGGGTGCTCCATCCCCAGGGACTCTCCCATGCCAAGTGAGAACACAAAGCTCTTCAGGTGGAGGGGCAGGAATGGCGTCCTGGAACTGTGTCCCCATTCAGGAAGGATTTCGTTCACCATTCTTCAATGTATACTCTCCTATCAGTGCTTTCTGGGAATCAACTGGGACATTAGGACAGGATGGTCTCCACTTCTAAAGTTTATCTAGAACCCATGAGAAAATTTTATGTATTTTAATTTAGTCTACAAGAGGCATGGTAAAGTTTAAGTATTGAAAGATAACAGGGAAAAATGGAGCACTCGTAGTTGGCAAGTCAATCTTTTAAGTGGGTTAGACACAGAAACCTAAGATAGGGGGTTATTCTTTGGGTTACAAAAAGGCTTCTCAGTATCAGAAACCTACTTAAAAATATAGCCAAGACTAGATGACCAAGTGCTTATTGTTCCTGGTGAGTATCCATCCAAGATGAAGATTGACTTTCTCTCTGTCTCTGCTTCCATTCTCCCTCCTAAAGGGGATGTTACATAACAGAAATTAAGCCACAGCACTGTCACTAGTTTCCAGGACATTATCCACAATCCAGTTATCTCTGGTCCATAATCCTGATACAGCCTGAGTGAAACCTCCAATCAGAAGTCATTCATCACATCCAGTAAGGCTACCAGCACATAGAAGCTTGGATTTATTTAAAGATCTCATGATAATGAGATTAATTTTCATGACAAGAGAGAAACAAATTAACTGGAAACCACAGGAATAATAATCTCTGTACTGGCTCCTACACATTGGGAGGGGAGCAGGGCTGAGCACTTTGATGCATGGTTTTATTCCTGTGTACCTTTCAGACCACAGAAATGCTAGGAGACAGTTTGTGGTTATAATTTCATTAAATGCAAAGAAGTAGGCAGAAGTGCAATCTCTCTTTCCCCACCTCACTATTTGGCAAGCCTCTTTATAGAGATCACAGAGACAACTCATCCTGCTTTGTTTTCAGCCAAAGAAAATGCA